TCTGACCAACATTTTTCGTAATTATCTTTAAACAGATTCACATTTTTGGCAGTCATATTCACCCCTAGATATTTCACTTTATTTACAATTGTTAATCCTGTCTCTTTCTGAAACCTCTCCTTCTCTATCTCTGTAAGATTTTTCTCTAGTACCTTAGTTTTCATCTTGTTTAATTTAAAACCTGCTACTTGACCAAATTCTTGGATTGATTGTAACACTCTTTTTGTGCTAGCTTCTGGCTCCTGTAATGTCAAAACTAAGTCATCGGCAAAAGCTTTCAGTTTGTACTGTTTAGCTCCGAGTTGTATACCTTTAACCAATTGGTCTTTTCTAATCATATTGAGCAGAACCTCCAGGACCGATATAAAAAGCAATGGGGAGATTGGGCAACCCTGTCTTGTTCCTTTCTCTATCTTAAATTCTTCTGTAACTACATTGTTCACAATAAGCTTAGCTTTTTGTTCCGAATAAATTGCACTTATACCATTTTCGAAACTTTGGCCTACCCCCATCCCCTGCAAATTTTTCTTCATAAAACTCCAAGAAATGTTATCAAACGCTTTCTCTGCATCTACAAATATTAAAACAGCTTTAGTATTGATATTAACTTGCAATTTTTCCAAAATATTAATAATGTTCCTAGTATTGTCTGACAAATGTCTCCCAGGAGAAAGCCCGCCTGGTCTTTATGAATCTCTTTTACCAATACATTTTTAATCTTTTAGCCATAATTTCGGCAAAAATTTTGTAATCCACATTTAGTAGGGATATGGGACGGTAGTTCTTCAACTGTGTCTTCTCCACTTCGGTTTTTGGTATAAGTGTAATGTATGCTTCTTTCCACGACTCGGGTGCTTTTCCTCCCGTAGTATTTCATTACAAAGTTCTTTCAACGGTTGCAGTAACCATTCTTTCAAAGTTTTGTAGTACTTTGCAGTTAGTCCATCCGGCCCTGGAGATTTGCCCAATTTCATATTCTGAATGGCTCCTTCCACTTCTTGATCAGATATTGTAGAGTTTAATATTGATTTACTCTCTTGAGATACTTTTTGTAATCCATTATTTTCCAAAAATCGGTCAATGTCTAATTCTTTCTGAGTCTCCTGCGTATATAACTGTTTAAAATAATTCTGAAAGCACTTCCGAATCTCTCCAGGATTCTGTATATTCTTCCCTTCTACAACCAAGTTCGTAATCGTATTCAGCTTTTGTCTTTTTTTCATTTGCCAGGCCAATAATTTCCCACATTTATTTGCCGATTCGAAAGTCTTTTGTTTCATCTGTTTGATCTTCCATTCTATCTCCTGGTTCATCAATTTCATATATTGTACTTGGTATAGCTTTATCTCTTTTAAAATCTCCTGTGAGTTCGGTTTCGCTCTCAGTCTTTTTCTCCATCCTTAATTTTCTCCAAAAATTTTTCTCTCTTCTCATTTTGATATCTTTTCCTAATTGCATTTTGTTGTATCAAAAATCCTCTCATCACCGCTTTACTGGCATCCCAAATCACTCTTTTTTCTGTCATAGTATTCAAATTTATTTCAAAATAGTCTCTCAAATTCTTCTGAGCCTTTTTAATAATTTCCTCATTCCTAAATAAGGAGTCATTCATCCTCCATCTAAAGGCCCCAATTGGCGTTGATATCATTTCAATCTTTACTGGATTGTGATCAGAGCAAATTTTCGGGCAAATCACCGCTTTTTTAATTTTAGGAGCCAGTCCTCTAGTTATCCAGATTTGGTCTATTCTTGTCCATGTCATATTTGCTTCAGAGAAGAAGGTTCCTTCTCTTTCCAAGGGGTTCTTTATTCGCCAAATATCCACAAGATCCATATTGTCAGTCATTTCAAAAAATGTCCTTGGCAGTCTTCCATCTTTTGTCACTGTTTGTCTTTGGGCTTTATCCATATTTGTAGACACTACTCCATTCATATCTCCCATCAAAATAATGTTGTAATCCAGATAATCCAGGAGAGTTTCATGCAGTTTCTTAAAGAATTCTGATTTTCCCTCATTTGGTGCATATACGCCTATTATCAAAAATTTCTGTCCTTGGAATTGAATTTCAATTGCTATATATCTTCCTTGATCATCTTTAAATATAAATTTTGGTGACAGGCTTTCCTTCGCATAAAGTACTACCCCTCTTTTTTTACATTGTCCGATGAGATAAATTCCTCTCCCAATCTTTTATTTATCAAAATTTTCCGTTGTAGCCTTGTCACATGAGTCTGTTGTAGGCAAATCAAGTCCAAATGTTCTTTTTCAATGTATGAAATACTCTCCCCCTTTTGCCGACGAATTTAGGCCATTAATATTCCAGCTTAAAATTTGTAGTGTCATTTTGTAGTTACTCTCCTTCTCCTCCAACAGCCCCAAGAAGATTCTCTATATCTGTCGGTGGCGTTGGTTTCACTTTTTTTTGCAGACCCTTATCCAGTATCGCAATGTCTTTTCCCAATCCTTTCTGTAGATCTTCTTCGTATGCACTCAGAAACTTGTTCTTTTCCTCCACTGATCTAATCTTGGTCTTTCTTCCTTTGAAGCTAAAGGATAGACCTTGGGGAAATTCCCACCTAAAAAGGATTTTATTTTTTTCTCAACAAGTCCACCAAATCTCCAAAGTCCTTTCTTAAATCAAGAAGATGTTTTGGTATATCTTTGAAGATTTCCACTTTTGATTGTATAATTGTCAAAGGTTTTTCGTAATGCAAGCCCAAAATTTTGTCCCTTTCTTCTTTGGATCGGAGGGTGATCAAACAGTCCCTTATTTTGATCTTTCTTCCTCCTTTCCCCAGTCGAAAAGCCCTCACAATCTTAAAATCCTCTTGTTTCAATTCCGATTTCCAAAAGTCCAAAAATTCTTGTGTCAAAAAGTCTATCAAGGTACCTTTCTCCAACTCAGGAACAGCTCTAATTCTAAGATTCGTTTGTTTGTCTTTAAGGTCAATCATAGACAACGTTAACTTATGTTCTGCAATCTCTTTCTGCAAGTCTGGTACTTTTTCAGTTTCCAATTGCCCCAATTTAAATTCTACAGCAGCAGTTTTTTCCTGTATAGACTTTGAGTCTTGCAGTAGTTTCTGAATAGATTCCGTATTGCTGTTTACTTTTTTCTCCAAATTGCCTAATGTTTCTGTGTTTAAATCAATTTTCCTGTTTGCAATATCCACTTTCTGGTTCGTCTCTTCCACCTTCCTATTCGTCTCCCCCACTTTTGTACTTAATTGCTGTATTGATTCATTAATCTTAGTCAGAGCACTGGCTAAAAATTCCTCAGACATTCCACCAGACTTAGATTGTATTGCCGATGCAGGCAAACCAGCAGATGATTGCCTTCTATGTGTCCAAGGTTTCCCTGATCTCAAAGTTGACTGGTCTTTTTGACCATCAGCCATAACAAAGTGAAGGTCAAATTCCTTTCCCACGTCTGATGTTCCTGTTTATAAGTGGGAAATTCCTTTCCTTTCCTGTAATTGCAGAGAGTCCCACTAGATGGACACTGTTACCACCTAGCAAGTTACTGTCTTTTTGAAATAACAGGAGAGAGATACTAAGTAAAAAAGGCAAGAATAGAGAACACAATATAACTTTCCAGTCCTTTCCAATCTTTTCCCAATGAAGTTGGCCACAGTATATCTCCTTTGCAACCAACAAACAGCTTTAACAGCTGAGACGTCCCACTGACAGGTCACTCATTAAATCCTTCAATTTAAACAGTCCGGTAGAATCAAGAGTCTTTCCCTTATCCCTCCAAAGGGTAGATCCCTCCAAAGTTCTCAGGTCAGAAAGAAACACTTATTTCAGTTCAGTTTTCCCACGTTTAGCTCCAAATCTCTTTGCTTTATTCCATATACAGTGCAGAGAAGCGGACTTCCTGTTTACGCTTCCACCGCGGTAGCCAATTCAGACGTTTTTAAACGGCTTAAAACTTTTCCGCTTTTTCACAAATAGTCCAATTAATCCAAATAATGCTCTTTTATCCAATTCTTCTACTCACGGTTAAATTTTAAGTCCAAATGTCCCAGGAATAAGTCAGCGCTCTCCAGCAACGGCAACACGGCTTCGCTCAGTGAAAGCAGCGATCCGCTCGCAGCACCGCGCTTCTCCCCCGCTCCCTTCCGAAGCCTCAAAAAAGGCTTCCTTTCGGGTTGGGGGGGCGCTCCAAGGTGCCCGCCGAGCCTCCACGTTCGCAGGCGTCCGCACCTGCGATTTCTGAGGGTCCCCGCTTCGCCGAAGCGCACAGGACCCGATCTCCCGCTGAGCTACCCCCTCCGAAAATCAAAGGAGGTCCGCCATTGCTGCTGGCGCTGACCGGAAGCCCAGATCCCACCTTCCAGGGCAGGAGAAAACAAGGAGCACCACCAATTTGCAGCTTGGAGGCACATGCCTGAGCAAGAAGTAGACCTTAATTTATCAATTTTGAACATGCTGGCTGTCTCCTATTTGGGAGATTGAGGGGATGGGCCTCTGCAGAACCAGGAGTGTAAATACCACAATACAGGCTGCGAAACGACTGCACTAAAGATGGCCAATGCATATTTCTCACTGTGCTGGAAGAAAGCGACAATTGCCGCAGGGTTCTGTCCTGGGCCTGTTGCTGTTGTTCAATGCCTTTATTAGACAACTTGGACAGAAGAGTTGAGGGGACGCTCATCAGAGTTGCAATGACACCAAACTAGGAGGGGTAGCTAATGTTACAGAAGAAAGAATCAGGATTCAACATGAGCTTAACAGATTGGAGACCTGGGCACAAGCTAACAAAAGGAATTTCAACAGGGACATATGTAAAGTTCTGCACTTGGGCAGGAAGAGGCAGATGCCCAAATATAAGATGGGCACCTCAAAGGACATCTAGTCCAACCCCCTGCAGTGCAGGAATCTCAACTCAATGAGAGCTGGCCACCTGACTTCCGCTTAAAAACCTCCTAGGAAGAAGAGGCCACCACCTTCTGGTGGAGTCTCTTCCCTGTTGAACTGTTCTTACTGTCAAAGAGCTCTTTCTGAATTTTAATCAGAATCTCCATTCCTGTTATCTTGAAGCCGTTGGTTCGGATCCCACCCTCCAGAGCAGGAGAAAACAAGGAGCCCCACCAATTTGCAGCTTGGAGGCACTGGAAGAGGAAGCTCTGTGAACCTCTCTACTCATGACGTGAACCACCCTGGCATCTTCAGATCAAGGACACTGCACAAATTTAATAGCCATAGAAATAATAAAGTACGTTACCTGCTTGTGTGGTAAGAATTTGCTTCTACACCAGCAGTTTGTTACACATGTAAGGGAACATCTGAAATAAAAACACGGAACCAAGAGAAGGAGAGCAAACTCAGAGTCCTGCAGGGACCCAGTTTATTCAAACTATTGCAATAGGACAGCCTTGCTATCCAGTTCTTCAGCAGAAGGGCTGGTTTGAAAAGGCTGCCAGGGGGCATATTAGAAGAAAGCGTATATACACAGCACACAAAGACTCATAAAATGCCACAACACTCTTCCACTTGCATCAAGAAAGGTCACAGGTCATGGGATGCGTGGCTCAATGTGGATATCGACTCCTCTGAAAATACCTTGGCGTGTCCCACAGTGCCCAGGTCATTTGGGTCTCATATGTCTCACTTTGACACCATGCCCACGGCAACCAGGACTTCCATGGGACTGTTGATTTTCCTATTCCCTATCTTACTTTCCTGTTCCCAAAACATGTCAAAGACCTTTGAGGAGAGATGTGAGTTCTCAAACGGATGCTAGCTCAACACAGACCTCTTTCCCAAAACATCATCTGCCCTTCTAGGGTCTGAAAAGGCTGGAAGCGGTAGGAAACTTACACATGACAACTTTACAGGAGGGTGGAATGAGGTTTACAAAATGCAGGCATACAAAAGTCAAGCCTAATGCATTCTATCTAAAAGGCTGGATGCAATTAATACTAGGACACTTTGATCAAAATCTATAATATCTAATATTCAATCAACTATCACATTTTTTTACACCAAGTCCTTCCTAGGAAAGATCAGCATGGACAGCAACCTCATCAGTGTCGCCCAATCACTGTTATCCCTCTCCCCAGGCATGACGTGAAGACGGAATTCAACACCTTGGCCAAGAACTTGCAAGTCACAGCTCTGGGTATGTAGTAGGAATTAATATGGGGCACCAGATGTGGCAAAGAACCCAGCTGCAACAATTACCTTATACGAACTAAAGTCTCCTCCAATTAAATCTGTATACAGCCACTACTGTAGTTTGCCCCACTGCGAGTTCTTTGATGGCTAATAAGACGGGCCCTGTGGCTGAAGCTCTTTCCACATGCTTGCCACTGTTAGGGTTTCTCCCCTGTATGAATTCTCTGATGGGACATGACACTATCCATTTTTCTGAAGCTCTTTCCACACTCTTGTAACTGATAGGGTTTTTCTCATGGATTAACTCTTTGATGGGCCCTAAGATGGCAGTTTTGAGTAAAGCTCTTTCCACACTAAAAGCACTGATAAGGTTACTCCCTTGTATGAATTCTTTGATGGGAAGTGAGTTTGCTGCTTGTATTGAAGCTGCTTCCACATTCCAAACATTTATAGGGTTTCTCCCCTGTATGAATTCTGTGATGGGTTGTGAGAGTGGTGCTCCGGGTGAAACTCTTTCCGCATTCCAAGCACTGATATGGCTTCTCCCCTGTATGAATTCTTTGATGGACACTTAGCTGGTAGCTGTGACTGAAGCTCTTTCCACACTCCAAGCACTGATAGGGTTTCTCCCCTGTATGAATTCTTTGGTGGGAAGTGAAACTTATTTTCCAGGTGAAGCTCTTTCCACATTCCGAACATTTATAGGGTTTCTCCCCTGTATGAATTATTCTATGGGAAGTGAGATTGCTGCTCCTATTGAAGCTGCTTCCACATTCCAAACATTTATAGGGTTTCTCTCCTGTATGAAGTCTATGATGAGAAGTGAGATGGGCACTCTGATTGAAGCTCTTTCCACATTCCAAGCACTGATATGGCTTCTCCCCTGTATGAATTATGTGATGGGTTGTGAGACTGGTGCTCCGGGTGAATCTCTTTCCACATTCCAAGCACTGATATGGCTTCTCCCCTGTATGAATTCTTTGATGGACACTTAGCTGGTAGCCGTGACTGAAGCTCTTTCCACACTCCAAGCACTGATAAGGTTTCTCCCCTGCATGAATTTTTTGGTGGGAAGTGAAACTGTCCTTTCGACTGAAGCTCTTTCCACATTCCAAGCACTGATAGTGTTTCTCCCATGTATTAATTCTTTGATGGGAAGTGGAACAGTCCTTTTTTCTGAAGTTCTGCCCACAATCTTGGCACTGATAAAGTTTTTCCCTTGTATGAATTCTCTGATGGACAGTAAGCTTGTGTCTCTGACGGAACCTTTTTCCACATTCCAAGCACTGATAGGGTTTCTCTCCTGTATGAATTCTTTGATGAGTCGTGAGATGGGAGCTCTGAGTGAAGCTCTTTCCACATTCCAAACATTTATAGGGTTTCTCCCCTGTATGAATAAGTTGATGAACAGCAAGCTGGCCTCGGTGTCTGAATCTCTTTCCACATTCCAAGCACTGATGGGGTTTCTTCTCAAGGAGATTTCTTTGATGGGAAGTGGAATGGGAGCTCTGTCTGAAGCTCTCTCCACAGTCTGAATCCTGAGACAGTTCCCCCACTGTGTGGATCTCTTTGTGGTCTCCCTCGTTCTTCCTCTCCAATTCATCACCACCTGCAACTAAGTGGCAAACAGATCAGAGCCTCAGGAATAATAATAATAATAATAATAATAATAATAATTTATTATTTGTACCCCTAGCCACTCTGGGCGGCTTCCAACAAAGATTAAAATACATTAAATTGTCAGACAATAGAAAACTTCCCAAAACAGGGCTGCCTTCAGATGTCTTCTAAATGTCACATAGTTTTTTATCTCCTTGACATTTGATGGGAGGGCATTCCACAGGGCGGGCACCACTACCAAGAAGGCCCTCTGCCTGGTTCTCTGTAACTTTGCTTCTCGCAGTGAGGGAACTGCCAGAAGGCCCTCGGTGCTGGACCTCAGTGTCCGGGCAGAAAGATGGGGATGGAGATGCTCCTTCAGGTATATTGGGCTGAGGCCATTTAGGACTTTAAAAGTCAGCACCAACACTTTGAGTTGTACTCGGAAACGTACTGGGAGCAAATGTAGGTCTTTTAGGACCAGTGTTATATGGTCCTAGCGGCTACTCCCAGTCACCAGTCTAGCTGCTGCATTCTGGATTAATTGCAGTTTCCGGGTCACCTTCAAAGGTTGCCCCAAGTAGAGTGCATTGCAGTAGTCCAAGCGGGAGATAACTACAGCAAGCCCCACTCGGATGAGACAGATTGCGGACAGGGAGGGTCTCATCCTGCATACCAGATGGAGCTGGTAGACAGCTGCCCTGGACACAGAATTGACCTTGACCTCCGTGGACAGCTGTGAGTCCAAAATGACTCCCAGGTGGCGCACCTGGTCCTTCAGGGGCACAGTTACCCTATTCAGGACCAGGGAGTCCTCCACACCTGCCGCCCTCTGTCCCCCAAGAACAGTACTTCTGTCTTGTCAGGATTCAGCCTCAATCTATTCGCCTCCAGGCACTCACACAGGACCTTCACTGGTTCTGATGTGAAAGACAGGTAGAGCTGGGTATCATCTGCATACTGATGAACACCCAGCCCAAACCCCCTGATGATCTCTCCCAGTGGCTGCATGTAGATGTTGAAAAGCATGGGGGAGAGGACAAAACCCTGAGGGACCCCACAAGTGAGAGCCCAGGGATCTGAACAGGGCCCAGGAAAAAGGAGCGGAACCACTGTATGACAGTGCCCCCAGCTCCCAGCCCCTCTAGGCGGTCCAGAAGGATATTATGGTTGATAGTGTCAAATGCTGCTGAGAGATCCAGCAGAACTAGGAAACAGCTCTCACCTTTGTCCCTAGCCTGCCGGAGATCATCGACCAGCGCGACCAAGGCAGTTTCAGTCCCATGATGAGGCCTGAATCCCGACTGGAAGAGATCCATATGGTCCGCTTCTTTCAGGTGTGTGTGGAGTTGTTCAGCAACCACCCGCTCAATCACCTTGCCCAAGAATGGAAGATTTGAGACTGGGCGATAGTTGGCCATATTGGCAGCATCTAAACATGGTTTTTTAAGAAGCGGTTTGATAACCGCCTGTTTCAATGGGTCTGGGAAGGCTCCCTCACAGAGAGAAGCATTCACCACCCCACAGAGCCCATCACCCAGCCCTTCCCGGCTCACTTTTATTAGCCAGGATGGGCAAGGATCAAGGAGACAGGTGGTTGGTTTCACTCGTCCAAGCAGCCTGTCCACATCCTCAGAGGTAACTAATAATAATAATAATAATAATAATAATAATTTATTATTTGTACCCCGCCCATCTGGCTGGGTCTCCCCAGCCACTCTGGGCGGCTTCCATAGAAACCAAAAATACACCAAAATATCACAAATTAAAAACTTCCCTGTACAGGGCTGCCTTAAGATGTCTTCTGAATGTTAGGTAGTTATTTATCGCTTTGACATCTGATGGGAGGGCGTTCCACAGGGCGGGCGCCGCTACTGAGAAGGCCCTTTGCCTGGTTCCCTGTAGCTTTGCTTCTCGCAATGAGGGAACCGCCAGAAGGCCCTCGGAGCTGGACCTCAGCGTCCGGGCAGAACGATGGGGGTGGAGATGCTCCTTCAGGTATACTGGGCCGAGGCCGTTTAGGGCTTTAAAGGTCAACACCAGCACTTTGAATTGTGCTCGGAAACGTACTGGGAGCCAATGTAGGTGTTTCAAGACCGGTGTTATGTGGTCTCGGCGGCTGCTCCCAGTCACCAGTCTAGCTGCCGCATTCTGGATTAGTTGTAGTTTCCGAGTCACCTTCAAAGGTAGCCCCACGTAGAGCGCATTGCAGTAGTCCAAGCGAGAGATAACTAGAGCATGCACCACTCTGGCGAGACAGTCTGCGGGCAGGTAGGGTCTCAGCCTACGTACCAGATGGAGCTGGTAAACAGCTGCCCTGGATACAGAATTGACCTGCACCTCCATGGACAGCTGTGAGTCCAAAATGACTCCCAGGCTGCGCACCTGGTCCTTCAGGGGCACAGTTACCCTATTCAGGACCAGGGAGTCCTCCACACCAGCCCGCCCCCTGTCCCCCAAAAACAGTACTTCTGTCTTGTCAGGGTTCAACTTCAATCCATTAACCGCCATTCATCCTCCAACCGCCTCCAGGCACTCACACAGGACCTTCACCGCCTTCACTGGTTCTGATTTGAAAGAGAGGTAGAGCTGGGTATCATCTGCCTATTGATGGATACCCAGTCCAAACCCCCTGATGATCTCTCCCAGCGGCTTCATATAGATGTTAAAAAGCATGGGGGAGAGGACGGAACCCTGAGGCACCCCACAAGTGAGGGCCCAGGGGTCTGAACACTCATCCCCCACGACCACTTTCTGAACACGGCCCAGGAGGAAGGAGCGAAACCACTGTATAACAGTGCCCCCAGCTCCCAGCCCCTCTAGACGGTCCAGAAGAATGTTATGGTCGATTGTATCAAAGGCCGCTGAGAGATCCAGCATAACTAGGAAACAACTCTCACCTTTGTCCCTAGCTCGCTGGAGATCATCAACCAGCGTGACCAAGGCAGTTTCAGTCCTGCGATGAGGCCTGAATCCCGATTGGAAGGGATCCGAATGGTCCGCATCCTCCAGGCGTGCCTGGAGTTGTTCAGCAACCACGTGCTCAGTCACCTTGCCCAAGAATGGAAGATTTGAGACTGGGCGATAGTTGGCCATCGTGGCCGGGTCTAAAGATGGTTTTTTAAGAAGCAGTTTAATGACCGCCTCTTTCAGCGGATCTGGGAATGTTCCCTCACAGAGGGAAGCATTCACCACCCCGCAGAGCCCATCGCCCAGCCCTTCCCAGCTTGCTTTTATTAGCCAGGATGGGCAAGGATCAAGGAGACAGGTGGTTGGCTTCACGCGTCCAAGCAGCCTGTCCACATCCTCGGGGGTAACGGATTGAAATTGATTCCATGCAACTTGACCAGACAGGGCTCTAGCACTCTCCCGCCCCGGCCCTGCTCCCACGGTGGTGTCTAGCTCCTTCCGAATATGAGTGATTTTATCTGCAAAAAACTTTGCAAAATTGTTGCAGGAGATCTTGGGGTCTTTACAAGGCCCCGGTGGTAAAGGTGGTTCCGTTAAATTGCGAACCACCTGAAAGAGTCTCCTGCTACTGTTTTCTGCAGATGCAATAGAGGCGGTGAAGAAAGTCTTCTTCGCCGTCACTATCGCCACTTGGTAGGCTCGACGTTGAGCTCTAACCTGTGTCCGGTCAGATTCGGAGTGAGTTTTCTGCCACCGACGCTCCAGCCGTCTCAGCGATTGTTTCATCGCCCTCAGCTCCGAAGAAAACCACGGGGCTGTCCGGGCTCCATGCAATCAGAGAGGGCACTTCGGAGCCAGACAGTCGATAGCCCTGGTTAGCTCTGCATTCCAGTGGGCCACCAGGGAATCAGCTGAAAGGCCATCAACATGGGCTAAAGCATCACCTACCACTCTCTGGAAACCATTTGGATCCATTAAGTGGCGGGGGCGGACCATCCAAATTGGTCCCACCTCCCTGCAGAGGGGAAGGGTCGCAGAGAAGTCCAGTTGCACCAGGAAGTGATCTGACCATGGCACTTCTTTTGTTTCACTTTTACTCAATGTCAGATCACCAACATCCATAGAGGTAAACACCAGGTCTAAGGCATGTCCATGACTATGAGTTGGGCCAAAGTTATTCAGGGACAGCCCCATGGATGCCATGCTTTCCACGAAGTCCCGAGCGGCCCCTTGTAAGGCCGTGTCGGCATGGATGTTAAAATCCCCCAGGACAACCAAACTAGGTGTCTCCAGGAGAACATCCGCCATGACCTGAAGCAGCTTGGGCAGGGAATTCTTGGTGCTGTGGGGAGGTCAGTACACCAAAAGGAATCCTGTACTGCCCCTATTGCCCAACTTCCAGAACATGCACTCAGAGAACTGGGTCTTCCCAATAGGACGCCTGGTGCAAACTAGTGACTTCCTAAATATCACTGCAACCCCCCCTCCCCGCCCACATGACCTGGGTTGCTGTGCAAAAGAGAAACCTGGTGGAGAAGTGGCGGCAAGGACAGGCCCATCTGCTTCATCCAACCAAGTGTCTGTTACCCATGCCAGGTCAAGTCCTCCATCCACAATCAGGTCATGGATGGCAGTGGTCTTATGAATCGTTGACCTAGCATTGCACAGCAGCACCTTCAGGTCATGTGGGTTTCCCTTGTTGATTCCAGAATCCATCCAGTCAAGACCAGACCTGGAGGCAGAGATAGTCTTCAAACAATAACTAAGCCTGCCTCCTGGGTAATGACATGTTCTGGTCTTAGCGTAACTCCTCCTCCTGCCCATGATCACTGAGATTGGGTGTCCCAGTGCATCCCCCCCTGTGGAACTTGCCACAGCCATTCTGTTGGCTGGGGCCCACTCCCAGGCAGCCCTGATCCCGCCCCTTAAAAACAAAACACAAACTATACAACAACCAATAAAACAAAACAAAACAACGTTATACCTAAATGAATCCCCAACCACATATCCTTTTAGAAGACATCTGAAGGCAGCCTTGTTTAGGGAAGCTTTTAATGTTTGATGGACTACTGTATTTTAATGTTTTGTGGGAAGCCGCCCAGAACAGCTGGGGAAACCCAGCCAGATTTGCGGGGTATAAATAATAAATTGTTGTTGTTGTTGTTCTCCATCCCACCCCCCAACAGAGCAAAAGGGGGGGGGAGAAGAGGAAAAATAACATGCCACTGACTGCTTAAGGTCATTTTAAAACACATTAGATTAGACACTTGGAACAGGGAAGCAATAGCAGAAGAACTCCACACTTCCCCAAGAGTTTCTTCCAGTGAGTCCAGCCCCACCCTCTGGGCACTGCAGCAGGAGTCCTTTTGTAGCTGAGAATGTGTGGGCCTGGCCCACGTCCCCCAGGCCAGTTGGGAAAGGCCTTGGAAGGGAGCAGGCCCTGCAGTCCTCGCCACAGCCGATGGTCCCAAATTAGGGAGCAGTGCTAATTAATGCTTGTGACAGGGAAAGAACTGAAGGGAGCTAGATGTGAGGTCTTCCTCCAGGGTTCACTGCCTGAGATTCAAAAAGCCTGGTTATTTTCTGGGACGGATTTTGTTTGGCCCAATCATGGGATCTGAGCCATCTCCAATGTCACTCGTCTCTTTAGTCAGCCAAGGACAGATAGAAGAACAGAAATAAAACATCTGACAGAAGCCACTTCAACTTCCTGAATCATTTTGAAGATACATTTAAGAAGGCCTGGGCAGTTTAGAGGAGCCTGAAAAAAATATGGATGGGGGGGTCTTATCTGCCCTGGAGGATCTTCCCCCCTGCTCAGCACCTTGCACCTCTGGTGGCCCTGCCCCTGTGAGGGGATGGGGGCTGCTGATGGATGGAGTCTGAGGGGGAAGGAGAGCGGTCAGCGCTCCTCCTCCTCCTCCTGTGCATCTGGCCAGAGCCATGGCTGCTTTCCTGAGGCCCTTCTTCTGCTTCTGCCCCCGTGAAGGGGCCCTGATGGGAGGCTGTGGGGGCTGCAGACAAACCAGCCCTTCAAGAGCAAAAGGGGGCCATCTTGGAGGGGGGTAGGCATTATTATTATTATTTTTATTTTTATTATTATTATTATTTATACTCTGCCCACCTGGCTGGGTTTCATGCTTTGAAAAGGCAGAACCGGAGGAAGAATATTCACAGGGAAAGCAGTCAACAGTCCTCCATCCAAGGTTTGCTGTGGGAGTGTTAGCATCCCATGTGCTGTGGGTGGCGCTGTTGAGCCCCATCAAAATATCAGAGGTTCCTCCCATAGAGAGATGTCTTGAATTACAAAGCAGATAGGATGATCCAAGAGGAAGCCTTACCAAGAGAGTCCAAGATCTGACGATTTTCCTCCATGACTTCCTTATGCAGAGCTCTCTGGTCAGGATCCAGCAACGCCCACTCCTCGTCTGTGAAATGGACAGCTACATCTTCAAAGCACACTGGACCCTAAAAGAAAAAGGAAAAGGTTGTCCTCTTAGACCAAATAAAGGTGAACTGTTACACTTTGTTGTCTTCTGCCTCTTAATTGATGTCCTGTTTTAATGGGAATCTTTTTCTGCGCATTTTATGGATGCATATTTTGTTGTGCTAATGAATTATTCATTGTGTACAGTGGTGACTCTGGTTGCGAACGGGATTCGTTCCGGAGGCCGTTTGCAACCGGAAACTACTGCAACCCAAAGTGCCTGTTCTGCGCATGCGTGCGGGACGGTCTACCACTTCTGCGTAACTTGAGAAACCCAGAAGTAACCTGGTCTGGTACTTCTGGGTTTTCCGCGTTCATAACTGGAAGGTTACATAACCTGATGGCAACGTAGCCAAAGGCAACACTGTATTTTAACGAGGGGTATTCAGAACCTGGTGTTTGTTGGTGTGTCTCCCCCTGAGTGCGGGTGTCCAATATCACCCGTCCAGAGCTGAGAGCAGCACCCACTCCTCCGGACTTCAAACAAGACATACATTCAAAAATGCAAGCACAACAAGAGACAGAACAAAGGGAACGGAAGTGATAGGAACTGTCTTCCGTTCTCACGCTTCCAAGCATGGAATGTAAACATAGGACATGTGATCCAACACTCACACATCCAGCGACTGGAGAATGAAACTATTAACAGTGTTCTTCAAATCATTCTTCAAATCCTGTGCACAAATATTCCCGTTTTCCACATGGATGGGACCCCCTTTCTTCTGTCCCTCTGTGCTGTTCTGGCCGGGTGGGGAGGACCCTCCTGAAGCCCTATAGACATCTCCAAGGTGCGCAGGGGAATGAGAGGGGGAAAGCCCCATTGTGGGACTGATGGGGTGAATCCTGGCCACTCTTTGGTATGGTGTGTGAACTGCTTAGAAGCCTATTTGAGCCTTCAACCCTCCTTCCTTGGCGGTTCCTCCCACCATTCCTCTGTGTCCACCAGTCCATGACATCCTCTCTCCCCACATGGCCCCTTCCTCCTACCTGCTCTGGGTCCACAGGGGCAGCTTCCCCTCCGCCACCAAGAAAAGATGGACAAGCAGGTCTTGCTGGCATCGTTCCGTCTCCTGCGAGAGAAGAAGGTAAGTGGGAAGCCAAGAGCGCATGCTTCACTCCGAAGGAAAACTACAGGTGCGCCTTCAAACAAGGAGGAGTTGCCACCTAAATATGGACGTTTGTACCCATTTCACATACTAGAGTGCAAAAATACATCTCCCTTTCTCTGGGCTCTTGGCCCCTGTGAATTCTCCAATAAGATGAAAAGAAATCACAGATTAGTTTCAAAATCCACAAAATGTGACCCAACAGAGAAAAAACTCCTTCCTCCTTACCCAGAGGCCTCTCTCTGGAGTCCAAGGGAGTCTTCTCTGTCTCAGAGGAATCCGGACCCATTTCTGCTAACAGATCCTTCCCCTGAAAGAGCAACAAGGATTCAAAAAAGTAGATTAGAAATGGAATGGCTTAGGACACAAACACTTTAGGGCTGTCCGATATCATTCCTCGGATGCTTTCCAAAAAAGGATGGGCCATTAGGAATTGATTTGGAAATACTCTCCCTCCTCTTTGGAGCCCCTTGGGAGTCTCTCTCACCTGCTGCTCTGCCTGACTCAGGAGGAAACCTTCGGCCAGGGCCACCGCCTGGGAACTGGTCTCCGCTCCACATTCCCTCACCCAGCTCTCCATCTCCAGAGGAAGGACAGCCAGGAACTGCTCCAAGATCACCAGGTCCAACATCTGAGCTTTCGTGTGCCTTTCTGGCTTCAGCCATTGATAGCAAAGGTGGTAGAGTTGGCTGCAAACCTCTCGGGGTCCTTTGGCCTCCTGGTAGCAGAACTGCCTGAGCTGCTGGCTCTGCACCTCTGAGCAAAGGGTGTCCTCCTCACCCAGTTCCTTCTTCACAGAGTTTTCCCAGAATCCCCCACTGCTCCCATGGTGGGTTCCAAGGTCTCTTCCTGCTTCAGGGCCAGCTGAGTCTTGCTCATCCATCTCTGTTCCCAGGAGATTGGAAGGAGTCCCTACGTCTTCTGCCAAGTTCTGCCTGTCCTAATGAGAGGTTTTGGCAAATCCTAAAAAGCAAATACATTTTTCTGGTATAAAATTGATACACAGTAAGGAGGAGAAAAGGGTTCCCTGGGCAAGCATGGAGAAGTATTTGCAGGAATCACAGCCCAGACTCAGAGTTTCTTTGTTTAAAAGAGAAAGAATGAAGTCAGAATTGACAAGTGAGTCATTTGTACCAAGTGTAGTTTGGACTCAAGGCAAGAGTGGGGGTCCCTCCCCCCCCCCCAGATGCCAGGGCACATTTCTTTCCAGCGCCTCTCTCCTTTTCCAGAACGTGGAATCTCCCCTGTTCTCAGAAAGACTACTGGGGTGGGGTCCCTTTTTCCTTTGTTCTGAGGGCCAGATCCTGACCTGACCAAAGGACAGCTCTCGAAAGCAAGAAAAGTAGGACTGCCCTTCATTCTGTGATTGTACGTGGCTTTAAGTTCTTTTCAGTATTGTGTTTTAATGTTGTGATCTGCCTTGGGAACGGAGGGTGAAAATGGGATGGGGATGATGATGATGGTGAAGGTGTTACATAGCTTAACCCCCCCCCAGCCCCACTTGCTTGGAGGTTCTTTGGCATCCACCTGGTCCCTCAGGTGGCCTCGGGGACTGGCAGTGCCCACTGGAAGCTCCAGCCACCGTCCCTTAGGCACAGAGAGGATGTGGCCATGGGGCTTCCTGCTCTGGATCCCATGGGGTGGTTGCAAGTCCTCTGGGTGGAACTGCCCTGGAAAACGGCTCCGAAACTGGCCCCTAATGGCTGGGCTCCCCTTTTTATTTGTGGCATATTCATCCCACCTTTTTCTCCAATCCACGGGTCTGCCCCTCCTCACTGAATCCCCACAAATATCCTTGGGAACATATTTATGTCTTTTAAATTCTACTGGATCCAGAGCAGAACTCTCACATATAGTTAGCAGAGTAAAAACTCAAACACATTGCAGGATTCAAAAAAAGAAAGAAAAAAGATCAGCAGCAATTATATATTTCATCCACCAGAGCTTTACTGCTAGCCAAGGCAAATGAGCATAATGGTCACAAATGCAACACATCCAGGAGTGGCACTGTCCAGTTGCAGCAGACTTAATTTAATCTCTCCCCCCGCCCCTCCCCGGCAGCCCTAGGACTTTCCCCCTTCTCCCCCCTGCGCCCTATGGGGAAGAGAGAGGAGACTTACAAGATCCCAAAGGTGCCACCGACGCAGCTCTTGCAGAGGAGACGAAAACCTCCCCCTGGAAGAGAGGAAATGGGGGGGGGGGGATTTCCTCGGGAAGACCTCGTCCTCCCCCCTTATGTCCTGTCCTCTCTAGGAATCCAGCCCAGTTCGTTTTAACCCTTGGCGAGCCGGCCTCCTCCCCCCTCCCTCTGCAAAGCAGGAGCCCCGGGCATCGCAGCCTCCAGGAGGGACTTATTTTGACAACCCTCTGGGCTGGCTCCTGAGCTGTTCCCTCCCTTGGAAAGGGAAGCAGGAGCAACAGGGTTAAAGAAAATAATCGGGTTTACGGGCCTCACACCGCTTCTTCCCCAGTCACCTAGGGGCAGCAAAAGGAGGAGACTCCAGCCAAGCTGAAGAAGGAAAATAGCGGTCAGCAGACCTGATCTTTGTTTGTTGCAAGGAAGGTTCAAAGGTGGCAAAGAGGAAGAACCCCCAGCAAGGGTGAAAGGGATTTTCCCACAATGCATCCCTCCCACCATCACCAAAACGTCACGCCATGGTCAGAAAAGAGGAGTGGTTGTCATGCAGAAAGGAGAAAGTGTCGCCCCCCCCCCCCGCCAGTCATTCCAGCTCCCACCGCCTTGGAAGGAGCTGCTTCCCCAAAGAGCAGGAACGGGATTCCCACCTCCCCCCAGTCGCGAGGCTTTCCTGCGCTTCTCCTCTGGAAGGATCCGGATTACTGCCTGGGGTATGGGCTGCCTCCTGGGGCGAAGCTGGATTCCCCACTAAGGGCAAAGGACCTTCTGCTTGAGGGAGGGAGGGAGGGAGGGAGGGGAGCCCTGGATCGCCCTCTGTTTCTGTCTTGCAAGAAACAAGGAAACAGGAGGATGCATTGTATCCGCATTTTGCAGCGCGCTTCTTCTCCGCTTTCTGCTCTCGGTTTCTTGCGCTCAAAGCGTCGCGCAAAAGAGCCGAGCTCTCCTGGCGGATCGCGCGCTCCAGACACGGGGCTGCTGCTTCCTGACTTCGGATTGGCTGCCTCTCACCTTTGGACGATGCCCATTGGTCAGCGATGGTTCTTTGAGAAATCCTGGTGTTTCATTGAGGGGTTTCGGGACTCCATTGAAGGGTTTACAAGCCTCTTCGCTGCAGAACGGGGAGGGGGGTTTCTATGGGGGGGCACGCAGGCTCGTCGTCCTGCGTGGGTGAATGGGATTTGGGGGTGTTTGGATGGCCTCTTAGTCCCGGCTGTATCAACAGCTTGCGGGGTGAAAGGCCCGGAGGGGTCGCCTGAGGTGTCTCTCACCCGACAAGGCTGCTTTGTTGTCTCTGCAAGGCTGTCCTCCTGGCGGTCCTTCTTCTCCTTTATTTCAACCCCTCATCCCAGGGGCCTGAGCAGGGGATCCCACCCCCAGTCTCTAACAATGGAATGGGTTTCATATATATTTGATGCAAATGTATCCAGCTTTCCTGTGGGGCAGGTGGGGGAACATAAGGGAACACTCTTGCAGGCCCCACGGCCTCCTCCGGGGAAGGAGTCCTGGTGTTCTGGGACTCACAGCTGCTCTCTTGTGAGCACCCGGTCTAGCAGAGTAAAAGAGGTGAGGAGGTATCTGGCCATACCGACTTTATTTCTACTAATTACAGATTAAAGAACGGAACACGTATGAGAGGAGCAGCTCTCATACAGACATCCTGTCTCGTCGCAAGACAGAGCAGAAAGAAAAAGTGCAATAGTACCAGAGACGGAATTCACACAGACTGGCTTCCTTCCTCATGGAACAGAAAGGAAACAAGAATCAGATGGACCTGGCAATGGGAGGAGTGAAATGCTAACAGAACGTGTGTCTTCTGCTTATAAATATGCTCTTACTGGCAGAAAGTTCTTTCTGAAGTTTAATAGGAATCTCCATTCCTGTTATCTTTTAACCCACTGGTTCGGATCCCACCCTCCAGAGCAGGAGAAAACAAGGAGCCCCACCAATTTGCAGCTTGGAGGCGCTGGAAGAGGAAGCTCTGTGAACCTCTCTACTCCTGACGTGAACCACCCTGGCATCCTCAGATCAAGGGCACTGCACAAATTTAATAACTATAGAAATAATAAAGTATGTTACCTGCTTGTGTGGTAAGAATTTGCTTCTACACCAGCGCTTTGTTACACATGTAAGGGAACATCTGAAATAAAAACACGGAACCAAGAGAAGGAGAGCAAACTCAGAGTCCTGCAGGGACCCAGTTTATTCAAACTATTGCAATAGGACAGCCTTGCTATCCAGTTCTTCAGCAGAAGGGCTGGTTTGAAAAGGCTGCCAGAAGGCATATTAGAAGAAAGCTTATATACACAGCACACAAAGACTCATAAAATGCCACAACACTCTTCCACTTGCATCAAGAAATGTCACAGGTCATGGGATGTGTGGCTCAATGAGGATATCGACTCCTCTGAAAATACCTTGTTGTGTCCCAGAGTGTCCAGGTCATTTGGGTCTCATATGTCTCACTTTGACACCATGCCCATGGCAACCAGGACTTCCACGGGACTGTTGATTTTCCTATCCCCTATCTTACTTTCCTGTTCCCAAAACATGTCAAAGACCTTTGAGGAGAGATGTGAGTTCTCACACGGATGCTAGCTCAACACAGACCTCTTTCCCAAAACATCATCTGCCCTTCTAGGGTCTGAAAAGGCTGGAAGCGGTAGGAAACTTACACATGACAACTTTACAGGAGGGTGGAATGAGGTTTACAAAATGCAGGCATACAAAAGTCAAGCCTAATGCATTCTATCTAAAAGGCTGGATGCAATTAATACTAGGACACTTTGATCAAAATCTATAATATCTAATATTCAATCAACTATCACATTTTCCTAGGAAAGATCAGCATGGACAGCAATCTCATCAGTGTCGCCCAATCACTGTTATCCCTCTCTCCAGGCATGACGTGAAGACGGAATTCAACACCTTGGCCAAGAACTTAAAAGTCACAGCTCTGGGTACGTAGTAGGAATTAATATGGGGCACCAGATGTGGCAAAGAACCCAGCTGCAACCATTACCTCATATGAACTAAAGTCTCCTCCAATTAAATCTGTATACAGCCACTACTGTAGTTTGCCCCACTGTGAGTTCTTTGATGGCAAACATTCTCCCCTGTATGAATTCTCTGATGGGGCATGACACTATCCATTTTTCTGAAGCTCTTTCCACACTCTTGTAACTGATAGGGTTTTTCTCATGGATTAACTCTTTGATGGGCCCTAAGATGGCAGTTTTGAGTAAAGCTCTTTCCACACTAAAAGCACTGATAAGGTTACTCCCTTGTATGAATTCTTTGATGGGAAGTGAGTTTGCTGCTCGTATTGAAGTTGCTTCCACATTCCAAACATTTATAGGGTTTCTCCCCTGTATGAATTCTGTGATGGGTTGTGAGACTGGTGCTGTGGGTGAATCTCTTTCCACATTCCAAGCACTGATAGGGTTTCTCTCCTGTATGAATTTTTTGATGGGAAGTGAGAGTGCTGCTCTTATTGAAGCTCTTTCCACATTCAAAGCACTGATATGGCTTCTCCCCTGTATGAATTCTTTGATGGACAGTGAGCTGGCCTTTGTCTATGAAGCTCTTTCCACATTCCAAGCACTGATGGGGTTTCTGCCCTGTGTGAATTATTTGATGGACAGTAAGCTGGCGTCTGTGAATGAAGCTCTTTCCACATTCCAAGCACTGATAAGGTTTCTCTCCCGTATGAATTCTTTGATGGGCCATGAACTGGCCTTTGTGAATGAAGCTCTTTCCACATTCCACGCAATGATAGGGTTTCTCCCCTGTATGAATTCTTTGGTGGGAAGTTAGCTTGGACCTCTCATTGAAGCTCTTTCCACATTCCAAGCACTGATAGGGTTTCTCTCCTGTATGAATTCTTTGGTGGGAAGTTAGCTTGGACCTCTCATTGAAGCTCTTTCCACATTCCAAACATTTATAGGGTTTCTCCCCTGTATGAATTCTCTGATGGTGGGTAAGCTGCCTTCTGAGAATAAATCTCTTTCCACATTCCAAGCACTGAAAGTGTTTTTCCCCTGTATGAATTCTTTGATGGGTTGTGAGACTGGTGCTCCGGGTGAATCTCTTTCCACATTCCAAACATTTATAGGGTTTCTCCCCTGTATGAATTCTCTGATGGGAAGTGAAACTCTCTCTTCGACTGAAGCTCTTGTCACATTCTTGGCACTGATAGGGTTTTTCTGTTGTATGAATTATTTGATGGGACATAAGTTGGCCTTTTAGAATGAAGCTCTTTCCACACTCCCAGCACTGATAAGGTTTCTCCCCTGTATGAATTCTTTGGTGGGAAGTGAAACTGTTCTTTTGACTGAAGCTCTTTCCACACTCCCAGCACTGATAAGGTTTCTCCCCTGTATGAATTCTATGATGGACTGTGAAACTCTCCTTTGTTCTGAAGCTCTTTCCGCACTCTTGGCACTGGTAGGGTTTCTCCCCTGTATGAATTCTTTGGTGGGAAGTTAATCTGTCCTTTTTTCTGAAGCTCTGCCCACAATCTTGGCACTGATAAGGTTTTTCCCTTGTATGAATTCTCTGATGGACAGTGACCTTGTATCTCTGACGGAACCTCTTTCCACATTCCAAGCACTGGTAGGGTTTCTCCCCAGTATGAATTCTTTGATGAGTCCTGAGCTGGGAGCTCTGAGTGAATGTCTTATCACATTCCAAACATTTATAGGGTTTCTCCCCTGTATGAATATTTTGATGGACACTTAGTTGGTGGCTGTGACTGAAGCTCTTTCCACACTGCAAGCACTGATAGGGTTTCTCTCCTGTATGAATTCTTTGATGGGAAGTGAGATTGCTGCTCCTAATGAAGCTCTTTCCACATTCCAAACATTTATAGGGTTTCTCCCCTGTATGAATAAGTTGATGAACAGTAAGCTGGCCTCGGCGACTGAAGCTCTTTCCACACTCCAAGCACTGATGGGGTTTATTCTCAAGGGGATTTCTTTGATGGGAAGAGGAATGGGAGCTCTGCCTGAAGCTCTCTCCACAGTCTGAATCCTGATATGACTCCTCCACTGTGTGGATTTCGTTGTGGTCTCCCTCGTTCTTCATCTCCAGTTCATCACCACCTGCAACTACGTGGCAAACAGATTAGAGCCTCAGGAATAATAATAATAATAATAATAATAATAATAATAATAATAATTTATTTATACCCCAGCCACTCTGGGCGGCTTCCAACAAAGATTTAAAAATACAGTAAAATTTCAGACATTAGAAAACTTCCCTAAACAGGGCTGCCTTCAGATGTCTTCTAAATGTCACATAGTTGTTTATCTCCTTGACATTTGATGGGAGGGCATTCCACCGGGTGGGCTTATCACAGTGAAGGAACCACCAGCAGGCCCTTGGCACTGGACTTCAGTATCCGGGCAGAACGATGGGGGTGGAGACGCTCCTTCAGTTATACTGGGCCGAGGTCATTTAGGGCTTTCAAGGTCAGCACCAGCACTTTGAGTTGTGCTCGGAAACGTACTGGGAGCCAATGTAGGCCTTTCAGGACCGGTGTTATGTGGTCTCAGCGGCTGCCCCCAGTCACCAGTCTGGCTGCCGCATTCTGGATTAATTGCAGTTTCTGGGTCACCTTCAAAGATGTCGGCCACGACTGGATCTAATGATCATGGGTCCCTTTACCTTTAAAGATGTTTTTTTTAAGAAGCGGTTTAATGATCGCCTCTTTCAGTGGGTCTGGGAAGGCTCCCTCACAGAAAGAAGCATTCACCACCCCGCAGAGCCCAGAGCCCAGCCCTTCCCGGCTTGCTTTTATTAGCCAGGATGGGCAAGGATCAAGGAGACAGGTGGTTGGTTTCACTTGTCCAAACAGCATGTCCACATCCTCGGAGGTAACAGATTGAAATTGATCCCATATAACATGACTAGACAGGACTCTAGCACTCTCCTGCCCTGGCCCTGCTCCCACAATGGTGACTACCTCCTTCCGAATCTGAGGAACTTTATCTGCAAAAAACTTTGCAAAATCATTGCAGGAGATCTTGGGGTCTTTACAAGGCTCTGATGGTAAAGGTGTTTCTGTTAAATTGCAAACCACCTGAAAGAGTTTCCTGCTGCTATTTTCTGCAGATGCAATAGAGGCGGTGAAGAAAGTCTTCTTCGCCATCACTATTACCACTTGATAGGCTTGACATTGAGCTCTAACCCGTGTCTGGTCCAATTCAGAATGGATTTTCTGCCACCGGCGCTCTAGCCGTCTCAGATATCGTTTCCTCACCCTCAGCTCTGGAGAAAACCACAGGGCTGTCCGGGCTCCATGCAATCGGAGAGGGCGCTTCAGAGCCAGACAGTTGATAGCCCTGGTTAACTCCGCATTCCAGCGGGCCACCAGGGAATCAGCTGAAAGGCCATCAACATGGGATGAAGCATCCCCTACCACGCTCTGGAAACCATTTGGATCCATTAAGTGGCGGAGGCGGACCATCTGAATCGATCCCATCTCCCTGCAGAGGTGAATGGTCGCAGAGATGTCCAGTTGCACCAGGAAGTGATCTGACCATGGCACTTCAGTTGTTTCACTTTTAGCTAGTGTCAGATTACCCACGTCACTAGAGGTGAACACCAGGCATGTCTGTGGCTATGAGTTGGACCAAACTAATTCAGGGACAACCCCATGGAGGCCATGCTTTGCACTAAGTCCCGATCAGCCCCTTGTAAGGTTGTGTCAGCGTGGATGTTAAAATCCCCCAGGACAACCAAACTAGGTGTCTCCAGGAGAACATCCACCACGACCTGAAGCAGCTTAGGCAGGGAATTCTTGGTGCTGTGGGGAGGTCAGTACACCAAAAGGAATCCTGTACTGCCCCTATTGCCCAACTTCCAGAACATGCACTCAGAGAACTGGGTCTTCCCAATACGACACCTGGTGCAAACTAATGACTTCCTAAAAATCACTGCAACGCCCCCACCCCGCCCACATGACCTGGGTTGCTGTGCAAAAGAGAAACCTGGTGGAGAAGTGGCGGCAAGGACAGGCCCATCTGCTTCATCCAACCAAGTGTCTGTTACCCATGCCAGGTCAAGTCCTCCATCCAAGATCAAGTCATGGATGGCAGTGGTCTATGAATCATTGACCTAGCATTGCACAGCAGCACCTTCAGGTCATGTGGGTTTCCCTTGTTGATTCCAGAATCCATCCAGTCAAGACCAGACCTGGAGGCAGAGATAGTCTTCAAACAATAACTAAGCCTGCCTCCTGGGTAATGACATGTTCTGGTCTTAGCGTAACTCCTCCTCCTGCCCATGATCACTGAGATTGGGTGTCCCAGTGCATCCCCCCCCTGTGGAACTTGCCCCAGCCATTCTGTTGGCTGGGGCCCACTCCCAGGCAGCCCTGATCCCGCCCCTTAAAAACAAAACACAAACTATACAACAACCAATAAAACAAAACAAAACAACGTTATACCTAAATGAATCCCCAACCAGATATCCTTTTAGAAGACATCTGAAGGCAGCCTTGTTTAGGGAAACTTTTAATGTTTGATGGACTACTGTATTTTAATGTTTTGTGGGAAGCCGCCCAGAACAGCTGGGGAAACCCAGCCAGATTTGCGGGGTATAAATAATAAATTGTTGTTGTTGTTGTTCTCCATCCCACCCTCCCCCCCACCAGAGCAAAAGGGGGGGGGGAGAAGAGGAAAAATAACATGCCACTGACTGCTTAAGATCATTTTAAAACACATTAGATTAGACATGTGGAACAGGGAAGCAATAGCAGAAGAACTCCACACTTCCCCAAGAGTTTCTTCCAGTGAGTCCAGCCCCACCCTCTGGGCACTGCAGCAGGAGTCCTTTTGTAGCTGAGAATGTGTGGGCCTGGCCCCCGTCCCCCAGGCCAGTTGGGAAAGGCCTTGGAAGGGAGCAGGCCCTGCAGTCCTCGCCACAGCCGATGGTCCCAAATTAGGGAGCAGTGCTAATTAATGCTTGTGACCGGGAAAGAACTGAAGGGAGCTAGATGTGAGGTCTTCCTCCAGGGTTCACTGCCTGAGATTCAAAAAGCCTGGTTATTTTCTGGGACGGATTTTGTTTGGCCCAATCATGGGATCTGAGCCATCTCCAATGTCACTCGTCTCTTTAGTCAGCCAAGGACAGATAGAAGAACAGAAATAAAACATCTGACAGAAGCCACTTCAACTTCCTGAATCACTTTGAAGATACATTTAAGAAGGCCTGGGCAGTTTAGAGGAGCCTGAAAAAAATATGGATGGGGGGGGTCTTATCTGCCCTGGAGGATCTTCCCCCCTGCTCAGCACCTTGCACCTCTGGTGGCCCTGCCCCTATGAGGGGATGGGGGCTGCTGATGGATGGAGTCTGAGGGGGAAGGAGAGCGGTCAGTGCTCCTCCTCCTCCTGTGCATCTGGCCAGAGCCATGGCTGCTTTCCAGAGGCCTTTCCTCTGCTTCTGCCCCCGTGAAGGGGCCCTGATGGGAGGCTGTGGGGGCTGCAGACAAACCAGCCCTTCAAGAGCAAAAGGGGGCCATCTTGGAGGGGGGTAGGCAAGATGATGATGATGATTTTATTATTTATGCTTTGAAAAGGCAGAACTGGAGGAAGAATATTCACAGGGAAAGCAGTCAACAGTCTTCCATCCAAGGTTTGCTGTGGGAGTGTTAACATCCCAGGTGCTGTGGGTGGCGCTGTTGAGCCCCATCGAAATATCAGAGGTTCGTCACATAGAGAGATGTCTTGAATTACAAAGCAGATAGGATGATCCAATAGGGAGCCTTACCGAGAGAGTCCAAGATCCCACGATTCTCCTCCATGACTTCCTTATGCAGAGCTCTCTGGTCAGGATCCAGCAACGCCCACTCCTCGTCTGTGAAATGGACAGCTACATCTTCAAAGCACACTGGACCCTAAAAGAAAAAGGTTGTCCTCTTAGATAACATAAAGGTGAACTGTTACACTTTGTTGTCTTCTACCTCTTAACTGATGTCCTGTTTTAATGGGAATCTTTTTCTGCGCATTTTATGGATGCATATTTTGTTGTGCTAATGGAATTATTAATTGTGTACAGTGGTGACTCTGGTTGCGAACAGGATTCGTTCCGGAGGCCGTTTGCAACCAGAAACTACTGCAACCCGAAGTGCCTGTTCTGTGCATGCGTGCGGGGCGGTCTATCGTTTCTGCGCATGTGCAAGCAGCGAAAGACCACTTCTGCGCATGCGCAACTGAAGAAACCCGGAAGTAACCCGGTCTGGTACTTCCGGGTTTGCCGTGTTCGTAACCGGAAGGCAATTATATATTTCATCCAGCAGAGCTTTACTGCTAGCCAAGGTAAATGAGCATAATGGTCACAAATGCAACACATCCAGGATTGGCACGGTCCAGTTGCAGCAGAAGTGCAGAGTGTTTGAGGACTGGGACATTCGCAGGGAAGCCAAAATGCTTGTTTACAAAGCTATTGCACTACCAACCGTGCTGTATGCTTGTGAACCATGGACCACTTATAAAGGCCATCTCCAACTCCTCGAAAGATTCCATCAACAGGGTCTCCAAAATATTTTACACATCACTTGGGAAGACAGGAGAACTAATACCAGTGTACTAGAAGAAGCAAAGATCACCAGTGTTGAAGCAATGATTCTTCAACATCAGCTTCGTTGGACTGGTCATGTTGTCAGGATGCCTGATGATTTTCTTTCAAAACAACTACTCTATTCCGAACTTAATGAGACGCAAGTGGCGCTGTGGGTTAAACCACAGAGCCTAGGACTTGCCTATCAGAAGGTCGGTGGTTCGAATCGCCACGACGGGGTGAGCTCCCGTTGCTCGGTCCCTGCTCCTACCAACCTAGCAGTTTGAAAGCATGTCAAGTGCAAGTAGATAAATAGGTACCGCTCCGGCGGGATGGTAAATGGTGTTTCCGTGCGCTGCTCTGGTTCGCCAGAAGCGGCTTAGTCATGCTGGCCACATGACCCGGAAGCTGTACGCCGGCTCCCTCGGCCAAGAAAGCGAGATGAGCGCCATAATCCCAGAGTCAGCCACGACTGGACCTAACGGTCAGGGGTCACTTTACCTTTTATTCCGAACTTTGAAATGGAAAGCGTAATGCTGGTGGTCAACAAAAGAGGTTTAATGACGCTCTCAAGGCAAATCTTTAAAAATGTAGTGTAAACACCGACAATTGGGAAACACTGGCCTGCGAGCGCTCCAGTTGGAGAACAGCCTTGACCAAAGGTGTCGTGGGCTTTGAAAGACACTCGAACTCAGGACACAAGGGAGAAAGGTGCTAAGAGGAAGGTGCGCTTGGCAAATCCACACAGTGATCAGCTCCCGCCCGGAAACCAATGTCCCCACTGTGGAAGGACGTGTGGGTCCAGAATTGGCCTTCAAAGTCACTTAAGGACTCATTGTTAAAACCGTGTTCGTGGAAGACCATCTTACTCGGCTACCAGGGATCGCCCAAGAAGAAGACTATAAACTTCCCCCCCCCGCCCCTCCCCGGCAGCCCTGGGACTTGGCCCCTTCTCCCCCCTGCGCCCTATGGGGAAGAGAGAGGAGACTTACAAGATCCCAAAGGTGCCACCGACGCAGCTCTTGCAGAGGAGACGAAAACCTCCCCCTGGAAGAGAGGAAATGGGGGGATTTCTCGGGAGGACCTCGTCCTCCCCCCTTATGTCCTGTCCTCTCTAGGAATGCAGCTCACTTCCTTTTAACCCTTGCAAGGCGGAGCACTTCAAACGCACATCCTCTCTATTCAGGAGCCCGGGAGGAGCCTCGTACTTTGCAGACGCGTCGAGGCGCCTTCTTTGCGGAGGCCGAAATGAATCCAAAGGGGGCGGGAGACCCAGGACGCCCAAAGGGGGAAGAGAAAGGAGACTCACCGGATCCCCGAAGGCGCCCCCGAGGCAGCACTTGCGGAGCAGAGAGACAACAGCCCCCCTTGCAGGAAGGGAGGGGGAGGAAGGGTCTTTGGCTCTGGGGGACGTGGCCCCCTTTATTCCCAGTCCTCTCTCGGAATCCAGCCCAGCTCCTTTGAACCCTGGGCGAGCCGGGCGCACCCCGCTCCCCCCTCTCCCTCCCTCTGCAAAGCAGGAGCCCCGGGCATCGCAGCCTCCAGGGGGGTCGTATGTGCATCCCTCCCACCATCACCAAAACGTCATGGACTCGTCAGAAAAGAGGAGTGGTTGTCATGCAGAAAGGAGAAAGTGTCGCCCCCCCCCGCCAGTCATCCCAGCTCCCACCGCCTTGGAAGGAGCTGCTTCCCCAAAGAGCAAGAACGGGATTTACACCTCCCCCCAGTCGCAAGGCTTTCCTGCGCTTCTCCCCTGGAAGGATCCGGATTACTGTCTGGGGTATGGGCTGCCTCCTGGGGCGAAGCTGGATTCCCCCCTAAGGGCAAAGGACCTTTTGCTTGAGGGAGGGAGGGAGGGAGGGGAGCCCTGGATCGCCCTCTGTTTCTGTCTTGCAAGAAACAAGGAAACAGGAGGATGCATTGTATCCGCATTTTGCAGCGCGCTTCTTCTCCGCTTTCTGCTCTCGGTTTCTTGCGCTCAAAGCGTCGCGCAAGAGAGCCGAGCTCTCCTGGCGGATCGCGCGCTCCAGACACGGGGCTGCTGCTTCCTGACTTCGGATTGGTTGTCTGTCACCTTTGGACGATGCCCATTGGTCAGCGATGGTTCTCTGAGAAATCCTGATGTTTCATTGAGGGGTTTCGGGACTCCATTGAAGGGTTTACAAGCCTCTTCGCTGCAGAACGGGAAGGGGGGTTTCTATAGGGGGGGCACGCAGGCTCGTCATCCTGCGTGGGTGAATGGGATTTGGGGTGTTTGGATGGCCTCTTAGCCCCGGCTGTATCAACAGCTCGAGGGGTGAAAGGCCCAGAGGGGTCGTCTGAGGTCTCTCTCACCCGACAAGGCTGCTTTGTTGTCTCTGCAAGGCTGTCCTCCTGGCGGTCCTTCTTCTCCTTTATTTCAACCCCTCATCCCAGGGGCCTGAGCAGGGGATCCCACCCCCTACTCTCTAACAATGGAATGGGTTTCATATATATTTGATGCAAATGTATCCAGCTTGCCTGTGGGGCAGGTGGGGGAACCTAAGGGAACACTCTTGCAGGCCCCACGGCCTCCTCCGGGGAAGGAGTCCTGGTGTTCTGGGACTCACAGCTGCTCTCTTGTGAGCACCCGGTCTAGCAGAGTAAAAGAGGTGAGGAGGTATCTGGCCATACCGACTTTATTTCTACTAATTACAGATTAAAGAACGGAACACGTATGAGAGGAGCAGCTCTCATACAGACATCCTGTCTCGTCGCAAGACAGAGCAGAAAGAAAAAGTGCAATAGTACCAGAGACGGAATTCACACAGACTGGCTTCCTTCCTCACAGAACAGAAAGGAAACAAGAATCAGATGGACCTGGCAATGGGAGGAGTGAAATGCTAACAGAACGTGTGTCTTCTGCTTATAAATATGCTCTTACTGGCAGAAAGTTCTTTCTGAAGTTTAATAGGAATCTCCATTCCTGTTATCTTTTAACCCACTGGTTCGGATCCCACCCTCCAGAGCAGGAGAAAACAAGGAGCCCCACCAATTTGCAGCTTGGAGGCGCTGGAAGAGGAAGCTCTGTGAACCTCTCTACTCCTGACGTGAACCACCCTGGCATCCTCAGATCAAGGGCACTGTCAGAGCGGATTGATTTATTGCTCAAATAAGCCTGAGGTCTGGCACACTTCCCCTGTGCAAGCCTCTGCATTCCAAAGTCCACATATCTGAGCATAGCAGAGATCATCAGCAGCGGCAAGAGAAAGACTGCAAAAAACTCCAGTACCTTCTTCAGTGTGCTTAAATAAAGTCCACTCAGGATCTTAGCAGCTAAGAGCAGTTTTATTTACAGCAGACTATCCATTATCTATCACAGCGAACAGCATCGTGAAAACACGTCCTCTCTCCTCAAAAGCGAAAGTAGAGAGAAAGAACAAAGGCTTGAGGCTCTCGGAAATGACGCAGAATTTCCCCTCCTCTCAACAGTAGGCAGAGCGTACACTCTGAGCTGTTTAACCCTGTAAGCTCAGGTTCTCCTCACAGGCACTGCCCGAATTTAATAGCTATAGAAATAATAAATAAAGTATCTGAATTGCTTGGGTGGTAAAAAATTACTTCTACGCCAGGAGTTTGTTACCCAGGTGAAGGAACACCTGAAATATAAACACAGGACCAAGGGAATGAGACCAAACTCAGAGTCCTGCAGGGACCCAGTTTATTCAAACTATTGCAATAGGACAGCCTTGCTATCCAGTTCTTCAGCAGAAGGGCTGGTTTGAAAAGGCTGCCAGGAGGCATATTAGAAGAAAGCTTATATACACAGCACACAAAGACTCATAAAATGCCACAGCACTCTTCCACTTGCATCAAGAAACGTCACAGGTCATGGGATGCGTGGCTCAATGTGGATATCGACTCCTCTGAAATTACCTTGGGGTGTCCCAGAGTGTCCAGGTCATTTGGGTCTCATATGTCTCACTTTGACACCATGCCCATGGCAACCAGGACTTCCATGGGACTGTTGACATTTCTATCCGCTATCTTACTTTCCTGTTCCCAAAACATGTCAAAGACCTTTGAGGAGAGATGTGAGTTCTCAAACGGATGCTAGCTCAACACAGATCTCTTTCCCAAAACATCATCTGCCCTTCTAGGGTCTGAAAAGGCTGGAAGCGGTAGGAAACTTACACATGACAACTTTACAGGAGGGTGGAATGAGGTTTACAAAATGCAGGCATACAAAAGTCAAGCCTAATGCATTCTATCTAAAAGGCTGGATGCAATTAATACTAGGACACTTTGATCAAAATCTATAATATCTAATATTCAATCAACTATCACATTTTCCTAGGAAAGATCAGCATGGACAGCAACCTCATCAGTGTCACCCAATCTCTCTTATCCCTCTCCCCAGGCATGATATGAAGAAGGAATTCAACACCTTGGCGAAGGACTTGCAAGTCACAGCTCTGGGTACGTAGTAGGAATTACTATGGGGCACCAGATGTGGCAAAGAACCCAGCTGCAATCATTACCTCATATGAACTAAGGTAAAAGGTAAAGGTAAAGGTACCCCTGCCCGTATGGGCCAGTCGTGTCCGACTCTAGGGTTGTGCGCCCATCTCACTTAAGAGGCCGGGGGCCAGCGCTGTCCGGAGACACTTCTGGGTCACGTGGCCAGTGTGACGAAGCTGCTCTGGCGAGCTGGCACCCGCGCAGCACACGGAAACGCCGTTTACCTTCCCGCTAGAAAGTGGTACCTATTTATCTACTTTCATTTAAGAGTGCTTTCGAACTGCTAGGTGGGCAGGAGCTTGGACCGAAAGACGGGAGCTCACCCCGCCGCTGGGATTCGAACCACTGACCATGCGATCGGCAAGCCCTAGGCACTGAGGTTTTACCCACAGTGCCACCCGCGTCCCTCTCATATGAACTAAAGTCTCCTCCAATTAAATCTGTATACAGCCACTACTGTAGTTTGCCCCACTGCGAGTTCTTTGATGGCAAACAAGACGGGCCCTGTGGCTGAAGCTCTTTCCACATGCTTGCCACTGTTAGGGTTTCTCCCCTGTATGAATTCTCTGATGGGACATGACACTATCCATTTTTCTGAAGCTCTTTCCACACTCTTGTAACTAATAGGGTTTTTCTCATGGATTAACTCTTTGATGGGCCCTAAGATGGCATTTTTGAGTAAAGCTCTTTCCACACTAAAAGCACTGATAAGGTTACTCCCTTGTATGAATTCTTTGATGGGAAGTGAGTTTGCTGCTCGTATTGAAGCTCCTTCCACATTCCAAACATTTATAGGGTTTCTCCCCTTTATGAATTCTCTGATGGTCAGTAAGCTGCCTTCTGAGAATAAATCTCTTTCCACATTCCAAGCACTGATAGTCTTTCTCCCCTGTATGAATTCTGTGATGGGTTGTGAGACTGGTGCTCCGGGTGAATCTCTTTCCACATTCCAAGCACTGATATGGCTTCTCCCCTGTATGAATTATTTGATGGACACTTAGCTGGTAGCTGTGACTGAAGCTCTTTCCACACTCCAAGCACTGATAAGGTTTCTCCCCTGTATGAACTCTTTGATGGGAAGTGAAACTGTCCTTTCGACTGAAGCTCTTTCCACATTCCAAGCACTGATAAGGTTTCTCTCCTGTATGAATTATTCTATGGGAAGTGAGATTGCTGCTCTTAATGAAGCTCTTTCCACATTCCAAACATTTATAGGGTTTCTCCCCTGTATGAATTCTCTGATGGTCAGTAAGCTGCCTTCTGAGAATAAATCTCTTTCCACATTCCAAGCACTGATATGGTTTCTCCCCTGTATGAATTCTTTGATGGGAAGTGAAACTCTCTCTTCGACTGAAGCTCTTGTCACATTCTTGGCACTGATAGGGTTTCTCTGTTGTATGAATTATTTGATGGGACATAAGATGACCTTTTTGAACGAAGCTCTTTCCACACTCCCAGCACTGATAAGGTTTCTCCCCTGTATGACTTCTCTGATGGACAGTGAAAGTCTCCTTTGTTCTGAAGCTCTTTCCACACTCCTGGCACTGGTAGGGTTTCTCCCCTGTATGAATTCTTTGGTGGGAAGTGAAACTGTCCTTTTTTCTGAAGCTCTGCCCACAATCTTGGCACTGATAAGGTTTTTCCCTTGTATGAATTCTCTGATGGACAGTAAGCTTGTATCTCTGACGGAACCTCTTTCCACATTCCAAGCACTGGTAGGGTTTCTCCCCTGTATGAATTCTTTGATGAGTTGTGAGATGGGAGCTCTGAGTGAATGTCTTATCACATTCCAAACATTTATAGGGTTTCTCCCCTGTATGAATATTTTGATGGACACTTAGTTGGTGGCTGTGACTGAAGCTCTTTCCACATTCCAAGCACTGATAGGGTTTCTCTCCTGTATGAATTCTTTGATGGGAAGTGAGATTGCTGCTCCTAATGAAGCTCTTTCCACATTCCAAACATTTATAGGGTTTCTCTCCTGTATGAATAAGTTGATGAACAGTAAGCTGGCCTCGGTGTCTGAAACTCTTTCCACATTCCAAGCACTGATGGGGTTTCGTCTCAAGCGGATTTCTTTGATGGGAAGTGGAATGGGAGCTCTGTCTGAAGCTCTCTCCACAGTCTGAATCCTGAGACAGTTCCCCCACTGTGTGGATCTCTTTGTGGTCTCCCTCGTTCTTCATCACCAATTCATCACCACCTGCAACTAAGTGGCAAACAGATCAGAGCCTCAGGAATAATAATAATAATAATAATAATAATAATAATAATTTATTATTTATACCCCAGCCACTCTGGGTGGCTTCCAACGAAGATTAAAAATACATTAAAATGTGAGACATTAGAAAATTTCCCTAAACAGAGCTGCCTTCAGATGTCTTCTAAATGTCACATAGTTGTTTATCTCCTTGACATTTGATGGGAGGGCGTTCCACAGGGTGGGCTTATCACAGTGAAGGAACCACCAGCAGGCCCTTGGCACTGGACTTCAGTATCCGGGCAGAACGATGGGGGTGGAGACGCTCCTTCAGTTATACTGGGCCGAGGTCATTTAGGGCTTTAAAGGTCAGCACCAACACTTTGAGTTGTGCTCAGAAACGTACTGGGAGACAATGTAGGTCTTTCAGGACTGGTGTTATGTGTTCTCAGCGGCCGCCCCCAGTCACCAGTCTGGCTGCCGCATTCTGGATTAATTGCAGTTTCTGGGTCACCTTCAAAGGTTGCCCCACGGAGAGCGCATAGCAGTACTCCATGCAGGAGATAACCAGAGCATGCACCACTCTGGCAACCAGCTGGCTGGGTTTCATGCTTTGAAAAGGCAGGACCGGAGGAAGAATATTCACAGGGAAAGCAGTCAACAGTCTTCCATCCAAGGCTGGCTGTGGGAGTGTTAGCATCCCAGGTGCTGCAGGTGGCGCTGTTGAGCCCCATCAAAATATCAGAGGTTCCTCCCATAGAGAGATGTCTTGAATTACAAAGCAGATAGGATGATCCAATAGGAGGCCTTACCTAAAGAGTCCAAGATCCCACGATTCTCCTCCATGACTTCCTTATGGAGAGCTCTCTGGTCAGGATCCAGCAACGCCCACTCCTCATCTGTGAAATGGACAGCTACATCTTCAAAGCACACTGGACGCTAAAAGAAAAAGGAAAAGGTTGTCCTCTTAGACCAAATAAAGGTGAACTGTTACACTTTGTTGTCTTCTACCTCTTAATTGATGTCCTGTTTCAATGGGAATCTTTTTCTGCGCATTTTATGGATGCATATTTTGTTGTGCTAATGAATTATTCAATGTGTACAGTGGTGCCTCTGGTTGAGAACGGGATTCGTTCCGGAGGCCATTTGCAACCAGAAACTACTGCAACCCGAAGTGCCTGCACTGCGCATGTGTGCGGGGCGGTCTATCGCTTCTGTGCATGTGCGAGCAGCGAAAAACCACTTCTGCGCATGCGCAACTCGAGAAACCCGGAAGTAACCCGGTCTGGTACTTCCGGTTTTCCGCGTTCATAACCGGAAGGTTACATAACCTGATGGCAACGTAGCCAAAGGCACCACTGTATTTTAACGAGGGTATTAAGAACCTGGTGTTTGTTGGTGTGTCTCCCCCTGAGTGCGGGTGTCCAATATCACCCGTCCGGAGCTGAGAGCAGCACCCACTCCTCCGGACTTCAAACAAGACATACATTCAAAAATGCAAGCACAACAAGAGACAGAACAAAGGGAACGGAAGTGATAGGAACTGTCTTCTGTTCTCACGCTTCCAAGCATGGAATGTAAATATAGGACATGTGATCTAACACTCACACATCCAGCGACGGGAGAATGAAACTATTAACAGTGTTCTTCAAATCATTCTTCAAATCCTGTGCACAAATATTCCCGTTTTCCACATGGAAGGATCCCCTTTCTTCTGTCCCTCTGTGCTGTTCTGGCCGGGTGGGGAGGACCCTCCTGATGCCCTATAGACATCTCCAAGGTGCAGGGGAATGAGAGGGGAAAAGCCCCACTGTGGGACTGATGGGGTGAATCCTGGCCACTCTTTGGTATGGGGTGTGAACTGCTTAGAAGCCTATTTGAGCCTTCAACCCTCCTTCCTTGGCGGTTCCTCCCACCATTCCTCTGTGTCCACCATTCCATGACATCCTCTCTCCCCACATGGCCCCTTCCTCCTACCTGCTCTGGTTTGAGTCGGCTGCAAACCTCTCGGGGTCCTTTGGCCTCCTGGTAGCAGAACTGCCTGAGCTGCTGGCTCTGCACCTCTGAGCAGAGGGTGTCCTCTTCACCCAGTTCCTTCTTCACAGAGTTTTCCCAGAATCCCCCACTGCTCCCATGGTGGGTTCCAAGGCCTCTTCCTGCTTCATGGCCAGCTGAGTCTTGCTCATCCATCTCTGTTCTCTGGACACCTCCAGGAGATTGGAAGGAGTCCCTACGTCTTCTGCCAAGTTCTGCCTGTCCTAATGAGAGGTTTTGGCAAATCCTAAAAAGCAAATACATTTTTCTGATATAAAATTGATACACAGTAAGGAGGAGAAAAGGGTTCCCTGGGCAAGCATAGAGAAGTATTTGCAGGAATCTCAGCCCAGACTCAGAGTTTCTTTTTTTAAAAGAGAAAGAATGAAGTCAGAATTGACAAGTGAGTCATTTGTACCAAGTGTAGTTTGGACTCAAGGCAAGAGTCGGGGTCCCTCCCCCCCCAAAATGCCTGGGCACATTTCTTTCCAGTGCCTGTCCCTTTTTCCTTTGTTCTGAGGGCCAGATCCTGACCTGACCAAAGGACAGCTCTCGAAAGCAAGAAAAGTAGGACTGCCCTTCATTCTGTGATTGTACGTGGCTTTAAGTTCTTTTCAGTATTGTGTTTTAATGTTGTGATCTGCCTTGGGAACGGAGGGTGAAAATGGGATGGGGATGATGATGGTGATGGTGATGGTGAAGGTGTTACATAGCTTAACCCCCCCCCAGCCCCACTTGCTTGGAGGTTCTTTGGCATCCACCTGGTCCCTCAGGTGGCCTCGGGGACTGGCAGTGCCCACTTGAAGCTCCAGCCACCGTCCCTTTGGCACAGAGAGGATGTGGCCATGGGGCTTCCTGCTCTGGATCCCATGGGGTGGTTGCAAGTCCTCTGGGTGGAACTGCCCTGGAAGACGGCTCCAAAACTGGCCCCTAATGGCTGGGCTCCCCTTTTTATTTGTGGCATATTCATCCCACGTTTTTCTCCAATCCATGGGTCTGCCCCTCCTCATTGAATATCCATTTACCGTATTTTTTCCACCATAACACTCACTTTTTTCCTCCTAGAAAGTAAGGGGAAATGTCTGTGCGTATTATGGAGCGAATGCCTACGGATGGTGGGGGGGATCTGCTGCAGTCGTGAGCAGAGGATCCATGGTTCCCCTTCCTTCCCTCCTCCGTGGCTCGCTTTGCTCGCTTTGAAACAGCAAAGCGGGAGAAGAGCCACTGAGTGGGGAGAAGAGAGGGACAGAGAGCCTGGTTACAAAGCATGGATCCACATGGATCCTCAGGATTTTTGCACTGGGTCACCCCAAATTCACCATCAGATCACATAGCATGTCCATGGCTACAGCTTGCACCAAAAAAATCACGCACCCACTGTTGCCTGGGGCCGCAGTGGTGCAAAAACGTGGTTACAAAGTGTGGATCCACATGGATCCTCAGGATTTTTGCATTGGGCTACCCCAAACTCACCGTCAGATCACATGTCTGTGGCCACAGCATGAACCACAAAAATCATACATCCGCTGTTTCGTTTAGAATATTTTTTTTCTTGTTTTCCTCCTCTAAAAACTATGTGTGTGTTATGGTCTGGTGCGTGTTATAGAGCGAAAAATACGGGTATGTCATTTAAATTCTACTGGATATTGATCCAGAGCAGAACTCTCACATATAGTTAGCAGAGTAAAAAGTCAAACACATTGTAGGATTCCCAAAAAATAGATCAGAGGCAATTATATATTTCATCCAGCAGAGCTTTACTGCTAGCCAAGGTAAATGAGCATAATGGTCACAAATGCAACACATCCAGGAGTGGCACGGTCCAGTTGCAGCAGAAGTGCAGAGTGTTTGAGGACCGGGACATTCGCAGGGAAGCCAAAATGCTTGTTTACAAAGCTATTGCACTACCAACCTTGCTGTACGCTTGTGAAACATGGACCACTTATAAAGGCCATCTCCAACTCCTCGAAAGATTCCATCAACAGGGTCTCCAAAATATTTTACACATCACTTGGGAAGACAGGAGAACTAATACCAGTGTACTAGAAGAGCAAAGATCACCAGTGTTGAAGCAATGATTCTTCAACATCAGCTTCGTTGGACTGGTCATGTTGTTTGGATGCCTGATGATTGTCTTCCAAAGCAACTACTTTATTCCAAACTTAAAAATGGAAAGCGTAATGCTGGTGGTCAACAAAAGAGGTTTAATGACGCTCTCAAGGCAAATCTTTAAAAATGTAGTGTAAACACCGACAATTGGGAAACACTGGCCTGCGAGCGCCCCAGTTGGAGAACAGCCTTGACCAAAGGTGTCGTGGGCTTTGAAAGACACTCGAACTCAGGACACAAGGGAGAAACGTGCCAAGAGGAAGGTACACTTGGCATATCCACACCATGATCAGCTCCCGTCCGGAAACCAATGTCCCCACTGTGGAAGGACGTGTGGGTCCAGAATTGGCCTCCACAGTCACTTACGGACTCACTGTTAAAACCGTGTTCGTGGAAGACCATCTTACTCGGCTACCAGGGATCGCCCAAAAAGAAGAATATAAACTCCCCCCCCGCCCCTCCCCGGCAGCCCTGGGACTTGCCCCTTCTCCCCCCTGAGCCCTATGGGGAAGAGAGAGGAGACTTACAAGATCCCAAAGGTGCCACCGACGCAGCTCTTGCAGAGGAGACGAAAACCTCCCCCTGGAAGAGAGGAAATGGGGGGGGGGGATTTCCTCGGGAGGACCTCGTCCTCCCCCCTTATGTCCTGTCCTCTCTAGGAATGCAGCTCACTTCCTTTTAACCCTTGCAAGGCGGAGCACTTCAAACGCACATCCTCTCTATTCAGGAGCCCGGGAGGAGCCTCGTACTTTGCAGACGCGTCGAGGCGCCTTCTTTGCGGAGGCCGAAATGAATCCAAAGGGGGAGGGAGACCCAGGACGCCCAAAGGGGGAAGAGAAAGGAGACTCACCGGATCCCCGAAGGCGCCCCCGAGGCAGCACTTGCGGAGCAGAGAGACAACAGGCCCCCCCCCCCCTTGCAGGAAGGGATGGGGAGGAAGGGTCTTTGGCTCTGGGGGACGTGGCCCCCTTTATTCCCAGTCCTCTCTCGGAATCCAGCCCAGTTCTTTTGAACCCTGGGCGAGCCGGGCGCACCCAGCTCCCCCTCTCCCTCCCTCTGCAAAGCAGGAGCCCCGGGCATCGCAGCCTCCAGGGGGGTCGTATTTGCATCCCTCCCACCATCACCAAAACGTCATGTCCTCGTCAGAAAAGAGGAGTGGTTGTCATGCAGGAAGGAGAAAGTGTCGCCCCCCCCCCCGCCAGTCATTCCAGCTCCCACCGCCTTGGAAGGAGCTGCTTCCCCAAAGAGCAAGAACGGGATTTACACCTCCCCCCAGTCGCAAGGCTTTCCTGCGCTTCTCCCCTGGAAGGATCCGGATTACTGTCTGGGGTATGGGCTGCCTCCTGGGGCGAAGCTGGATTCCCCCCTAAGGGCAAAGGACCTTTTGCTTGAGGGAGGGAGGGAGGGAGGGGAGCCCTGGATCGCCCTCTGTTTCTGTCTTGCAAGAAACAAGGAAACAGGAGGATGCATTGTATCCGCATTTTGCAGCGCGCTTCTTCTCCGCTTTCTGCTCTCGGTTTCTTGCGCTCAAAGCGTCGCGCAAAAGAGCCGAGCTCTCCTGGCGGATCGCGCGCTCCAGACACGGGGCTGCTGCTTCCTGACTTCGGATTGGTTGTCTGTCACCTTTGGACGATGCCCATTGGTCAGCGATGGTTCTCTGAGAAATCCTGATGTTTCATTGAGGGGTTTCGGGACTCCATTGAAGGGTTTACAAGCCTCTTCGCTGCAGATCACTAGGAGGGGAGTTTATATGTGGAGGGGGCCACTCTGGCTCGTCGTCCTGCGTGGGTGAATGGGATTTGGGGGTGTTTGGATGGCCTCTTAGTCCCGGCTGTATCAACAGCTTGCGGGGTGAAAGGCCCGGAGGGGTCGCCTGAGGTGTCTCTCACCCGACAAGGCTGCTTTGTTGTCTCTGCAAGGCTGTCCTCCTGGCGGTCCTTCTTCTCCTTTATTTCAACCCCTCATCCCAGGGGCCTGAGCAGTGGATCCCACCCCCTACTCTCTAACAATGGAATGGGTTTCATATATATTTGATGCAAATGTATCCAGCTTGCCTGTGGGGCAGGTGGGGGAACGTAAGGGAACACTCTTGCAGGCCCCACGGCCTCCTCCGGGGAAGGAGTCCTGGTGTTCTGGGACTCCCAGCTGCTCTCTTGTGAGCACCCGGTCTAGCAGAGTAAAAGAGGTGAGGAGGTATCTGGCCATACCGACTTTATTTCTACTAATTACAGATTAAAGAACGGAACACGTATGAGAGGAGCAGCTCTCATACAGACATCCTGTCTCGTCGCAAGACAGAGCAGAAAGAAAAAGTGCAATAGTACCAGAGACGGAATTCACACAGACTGGCTTCCTTCCTCACGGAACAGAAAGGAAACAAGAATCAGATGGACCTGGCAATGGGAGGAGTGAAATGCTAACAGAACGTGTGTCTTCTGCTTATAAATATGCTCTTACTGGCAGAAAGTTCTTTCTGAAGTTTAATAGGAATCTCCATTCCTGTTATCTTTTAACCCACTGGTTCGGATCCCACCCTCCAGAGCAGGAGAAAACAAGTAGCCCCACCAATTTGCAGCTTGGAGGCGCTGGAAGAGGAAGCTCTGTGAACCTCTCTACTCCTGACGTGAACCACTCTGGCATCCTCAGATCAAGGGCACTGTCAGAGCGGATTGATTTATTGCTCAAATAAGCCTGAGGTCCGGCACACTTCCCCTGTGCAAGCCTCTGCATTGCAAAGTCCATATATCTGAGCATAGCAGAGATCGTCAGCAGCGGCAAGAGCAAGACTGCAAAAAAGTCCAGTGCCTTCTTCAGTGTGCTTAAATAAAGTCCACTCAGGATCTTAGCAGCTAAAAGCAGTTTTATTTACAGCAGACTATCCATTATCTATCACAGCGAACAGCATCGTGAAAACACGTCCTCTCTCCTCAAAAGCGAAAGTAGAGAGAAAGAACAAAGGCTTGAGGCTCTCGGAAATGACGCAGAATTTCCCCCCTCCTCTCAACAGTAGGCAGAGCGTACACTCTGAGCTGTTTAACCCTGTAAGCTCAGGTTCTCCTCACAGGCACTGCCCGAATTTAATAGCTATAGAAATAATAAATAAAGTATCTGAATTGCTTGGGTGGTAAAAAATTACTTCTACGCCAGGAGTTTGTTACCCAGGTGAAGGAACACCTGAAATATAAACACAGGACCAAGGGAATGAGACCAAACTCAGAGTCCTGCAGGGACCCAGTTTATTCAAACTATTGCAATAGGACAGCCTTGCTATCCAGTTCTTCAGCAGAAGGGCTGGTTTGAAAAGGCTGCCAGGAGGCATATTAGAAGAAAGCTTATATACACAGCACACAAAGACTCATAAAATGCCACAGCACTCTTCCACTTGCATCAAGAAACGTCACAGGTCATAGGATGCGTGCCTCAATGTGGATATCGACTCCTCTGAAATTACCTTGGGGTGTCCCAGAGTGTCCAGGTCATTTGGGTCTCATATGTCTCACTTTGACACCATGCCCATGGCAACCAGGACTTCCATGGGACTGTTGATTTTCCTATTCCCTATCTTCCTTTCCTGTTCCCAAAACATGTCAAAGACCTTTGAGGAGAGATGTGAGTTCTCAAACGGATGCTAGCTCAACACAGACCTCTTTCCCAAAACATCATCTGCCCTTCTAGGGTCTGAAAAGGCTGGAAGCGGTAGGACACTTACACATGACAACTTTACAGGAGGGTGGAATGAGGTTTACAAAATGCAGGCATACAAAAGTCAAGCCTAATGCATTCTATCTAAAAGGCTGGATGCAATTAATACTAGGACACTTTGATCAAAATCTATAATATCTAATATTCAATCAACTATCACATTTTTTTACACCAAGTCCTTCCTAGGAAAGATCAGCATGGACAGCAACCTCATCAGTGTCGCCCAATCACTGTTATCCCTCTCTCCAGGCATGACGTGAAGACGGAATTCAACACCTTGGCCAAGAACTTAAAAGTCACAGCTCTGGGTACGTAGTAGGAATTAATATGGGGCACCAGATGTGGCAAAGAACCCAGCTGCAACCATTACCTCATACGAACTAAAGTCTCCTCCAATTAAATCTGTATACAGCCACTACTGTAGTTTGCCCCACTGTGAGTTCTTTGATGGCAAACAAGACGGGCCCTGTGGCTGAAGCTCTTTCCACATGCTTGCCACTATTAGGGTTTCTCCCCTGGGTGAATTCTCTGATGGGACATGACACTATCCATTTTTCTGAAGCTCTTTCCACACTCTTGTAACTGATAGGGTTTTTCTCGTGGATTAACTCCTTGATGGGCCCTAAGATGGCATTTTTGAGTAAAGCTCTTTCCACACTAAAAGCACTGATAAGGTTACTCCCTTGTATGAATTCTTTGATGGGAAGTGAGTTTGCTGCTCGTATTGAAGCTCCTTCCACATTCCAAACATTTATAGGGTTTCTCCCCTTTATGAATTCTCTGATGGTCAGTAAGCTGCCTTCTGAGAATAAATCTCTTTCCACATTCCAAGCACTGATAGTCTTTCTCCCCTGTATGAATTCTGTGATGGGTTGTGAGACTGGTGCTCCGGGTGAATCTCTTTCCACATTCCAAGCACTGATATGGCTTCCCCTGTATGAATTATTTGATGGACACTTAGCTGGTAGCTGTGACTGAAGCTCTTTCCACACTCCAAGCACTGATAAGGTTTCTCCCCTGTATGAACTCTTTGATGGGAAGTGAAACTGTCCTTTCGACTGAAGCTCTTTCCACATTCCAAGCACTGATAAGGTTTCTCTCCTGTATGAATTATTCTATGGGAAGTGAGATTGCTGCTCTTAATGAAGCTCTTTCCACATTCCAAACATTTATAGGGTTTCTCCCCTGTATGAATTCTCTGATGGTCAGTAAGCTGCCTTCTGAGAATAAATCTCTTTCCACATTCCAAGCACTGATATGGTTTCTCCCCTGTATGAATTCTTTGATGGGAAGTGAAACTCTCTCTTCGACTGAAGCTCTTGTCACATTCTTGGCACTGATAGGGTTTCTCTGTTGTATGAATTATTTGATGGGCCATGAACTGGCCTTTGTGAATGAAGCTCTTTCCACATTCCACGCAATGATAGGGTTTCTCCCCTGTATGACTTCTCTGATGGACAGTGAAAGTCTCCTTTGTTCTGAAGCTCTTTCCACACTCCTGGCACTGGTAGGGTTTCTCCCTGTATGAATTCTTTGGTGGGAAGTGAAACTGTCCTTTTTTCTGAAGCTCTGCCCACAATCTTGGCACTGATAAGGTTTTTCCCTTGTATGAATTCTCTGATGGACAGTAAGCTTGTATCTCTGACGGAACCTCTTTCCACATTCCAAGCACTGGTAGGGTTTCTCCCCTGTATGAATTCTTTGATGAGTTGTGAGATGGGAGCTCTGAGTGAATGTCTTATCACATTCCAAACATTTATAGGGTTTCTCCCCTGTATGAATATTTTGATGGACACTTAGTTGGTGGCTGTGACTGAAGCTCTTTCCACATTCCAAGCACTGATAGGGTTTCTCTCCTGTATGAATTCTTTGATGGGAAGTGAGATTGCTGCTCCTAATGAAGCTCTTTCCACATTCCAAACATTTATAGGGTTTCTCCCCTGTATGAATAAGTTGATGAACAGTAAGCTGGCCTCGGTGTCTGAAACTCTTTCCACATTCCAAGCACTGATGGGGTTTCGTCTCAAGTGGATTTCTTTGATGGGAAGTGGAATGGGAGCTCTGCCTGAAGCTCTCTCCACAGTCTGAATCTTGATATGGGTCCTCCACTGTGTGGATTTCGTCGTAGTCTCCCTTGTTCTTCATCTCCAATTCATCACCACCTGCAAGTAAGTGGCAAACAGATTAGAGTCTCAGGAATGATGATGATGATAATAATAATAATAATAATAATAATAATAATAATAAATTATTTATACCCCAGCCACTCTGGGTGGCTTCCAACGAAGATTAAAAATACATTAAAATGTGAGACATTAGAAAATTTCCCTAAACAGAGCTGCCTTCAGATGTCTTCTAAATGTCACGTAGTTGGAGGGCGTTCCACAGGGTGGGCTTATCACAGTGAAGGAACCACCAGCAGGCCCTTGGCACTGGACTTCAGTATCCGGGCAGAACGATGGGGGTGGAGACGCTCCTTCAGGTCTACTGGACCGAGGTCATTTAGGGCTTTAAAGGTCAGCACCAACACTTTGAGTTGTGCTCGGAAACGTACTGGGAGCCAATGTAGGTCTTTCACGACTGGTGTTATGTGTTCTCAGCGGCCGCCCCCAGTCACCAGTCTGGCTGCCGCATTCTGGATTAATTGCAGTTTCTGGGTCACCTTCAAAGGTTGCCCCACGGAGAGCGCATAGCAGTACTCCATGCAGGAAATAACCAGAGCATGCACCACTCTGGCAACCACCTGGCTGGGTTTCATGCTTTGAAAAGGCAGGACCGGAGGAAGAATATTCACAGGGAAAGCAGTCAACAGTCTTCCATCCAAGGCTGGCTGTGGGAGTGTTAGCATCCCAGGTGCTGCAGGTGGCGCTGTTGAGCCCCATCGAAATATCAGAGGTTCCTCCCATAGAGAGATGTCTTGAATTACAAAGCAGATAGGATGATCCAATAGGAGGCCTTACCTAAAGAGTCCAAGATCCCACGATTCTCCTCCATGACTTCCTTATGGAGAGCTCTCTGGTCAGGATCCAGCAACGCCCACTCCTCATCTGTGAAATGGACAGCTACATCTTCAAAGCACACTGGACCCTAAAAGAAAAAGGAAAAGGTTGTCCTCTTAGACCAAATAAAGGTGAACTGTTACACTTTGTTGTCTTCTACCTCTTAATTGATGTCCTGTTTCAATGGGAATCTTTTTCTGCGCATTTTATGGATGCATATTTTGTTGTGCTAATGAATTATTCATTGTGTACAGTGGTGCCTCTGGTTGCGAACGGGATTCGTTCCGGAGGCCATTTGCAACCAGAAACTACTGCAACCCGAAGTGCCTGCACTGCGCATGTGTGCGGGGCGGTCTATCGCTTCTGTGCATGTGCGAGCAGCGAAAAACCACTTCTGCACATGCGCAACTCGAGAAACCCGGAAGTAACCCGGTCTGGTACTTCTGGGTTTTCCGCGTTCGTAACTGGAAGGTTACATAACCTGATGGCAACGTAGCCAAAGGCACCACTGTATTTTAACGAGGGGTATTAAGAACCTGGTGTTTGTTGGTGTGTCTCCCCCTGAGTGCGGGTGTCCAATATCACCTGTCCGGAGCTGAGAGCAGCACCCACTCCTCCGGACTTCAAACAAGACATACATTCGAAAATGCATGCACAACAAGAGACAGAACAAAGGGAATGGAAGTGATAGGAACTGTCTTCCGTTCTCACGCTTCCAAGCATGGAATGTAAATATAGGACATGTGATCTAACACTCACACATCCAGCGACGGAAGAATGAAACTATTAACAGTGTTCTTCAAATCATTCTTCAAATCCTGTGCACAAATATTCCCGTTTTCCACATGGAAGGACCCCCTTTCTTCTGTCCCTCTGTGCTGTTCTTGCCGGGTGGGGAGGACCCTCCTGACGCCCTATAGACATCTTGAAGGTGCGCAGGGGAATGAGAGGGGGAAAGCCCCATTGTGGGACTGATGGGGTGAATCCTGGCCACTCTTTGGTATGGGGTGTGAACTGCTTAGAAGCCTATTTGAGCCTTCAACCCTCCTTCCTTGGCGGTTCCTCCCACCATTCCTCTGTGTCCACCAGTCCATGACATCCTCTCTCCCCTCATGGCCCCTTCCTCCTACCTGCTCTGGTTTGAGTCGGCTGCAAACCTCTCGGGGTCCTTTGGCCTCCTGGTAGCAGAACTGCCTGAGCTGCTGGCTCTGCACCTCTGAGCAGAGGGTGTCCTCCTCACCCAGTTCCTTCTTCACAGAGTTTTCCCAGAATCCCCCACTGCTCCCATGGTGGGTTCCAAGGCCTCTTCCTGCTTCATGGCCAGCTGAGTCTTGCTCATCCATCTCTGTTCTCTGGACACCTCCAGGAGATTGGAAGGAGTCCCTACGTCTTCTGCCAAGTTCTGCCTGTCCTAATGAGAGGTTTTGGCAAATCCTAAAAAGCAAATACATTTTTCTGATATAAAATTGATACACAGTAAGGAGGAGAAAAGGGTTCCCTGGGCAAGCATGGAGAAGTATTTGCAGGAATCTCAGCCCAGACTCAGAGTTTCTTTTTTTAAAAGAGAAAGAATGAAGTCAGAATTGACAAGTGAGTCATTTGTACCAAGTGTAGTTTGGACTCAAGGCAAGAGTGGGGGTCCCTCCCCCCCCCCAGATGCCAGGGCACATTTCTTTCCAGCGCCTCTCTCCTTTTCCAGAACGTGGAATCTCCCCTGTTCTCAAGAAAGACTACTGGGGTGGGGTCCCTTTTTCCTTTGTTCTGAGGGCCAGATCCTGACCTGACCAAAGGACAGCTCTCGAAAGCAAGAAAAGTAGGACTGCCCTTCATTCTGTGATTGTACGTGGCTTTAAGTTCTTTTCAGTATTGTGTTTTAATGTTGTAATCTGCCTTGGGAACGGAGGGTGAAAATGGGATGGGGATGATGATGGTGATGGTGAAGGTGTTACATAGCTTAACCCCCCCCAGCCCCACTTGCTTGGAGGTTCTTTGGCATCCACCTGGTCCCTCAGGTGGCCTCGGGGACTGGCAGTGCCCACTGGAAGCTCCAGCCACCGTCCCTTTGCACAGAGAGGATGTGGCCATGGGGCTTCCTGCTCTGGATCCCATGGGGTGGTTGCAAGGTCCTCTGGGTGGAACTGCCCTGGAAGACGGCTCCGAAACTGGCCCCAAATGGCTGGGCTCCCCTTTTTATTTGTGGCATATTCATCCCACCTTTTTCTCCAATCCATGGGTCTGCCCCTCCTCATTGAATATCCATTTACTGTATTTTTTGCACCATAACACTCACTTTTTTCCTCCTAGAAAGTAAGGGGAAATGTCTGTGCGTATTATGGAGCGAATGCCTACGGATGGTGGGGGGGATCTGCTGCAGTCATGAGCAGAGGATCCATGGTTCCCCTTCCTTCCCTCCTCCGTGGCTCGCTTTGCTCGCTTTGAAACAGCAAAGCGGGAGAAGAGCCACTGAGTGGGGAGAAGAGAAGGACAGAGAGCCTGGTTACAAAGCACGGATCCACATGGATCCTCAGGATTTTGCACTGGGTCACCCCAAATTCACCATCAGATCACATAGCATGTCCATGGCTACAGCTTGCACCAAAAAAATCACGCACCCACTGTTGCCTGGGGCCGCAGTGGTGCAAAAACGTGGTTACAAAGCGTGGATCCAAATGGATCCTCAGGATTTTTGCATTGGGCTACCCCAAACTCACCGTCAGATCACATGTCTGTGGCCACAGCATGAACCACAAAAATCATACATCCACTGTTTCGTTTAGAATATTTTTTTTCTTGTTTTCCTCCTCTAAAAACTATGTGCGTGTTATGGTCTGGTGTGTGTTATAGAGAGAAAAATACGGGTATGTCATTTAAATTCTACTGGATATTGATCCAGAGCAGAACTCTCACATATAGTTAGCAGAGTAAAAAGTCAAACACATTGCAGGATTCCCAAAAAATAGATCAGCAGCAATTATATATTTCATCCAGCAGAGCTTTACTGCTAGCCAAAGTAAATGAGCATAATGGTCACAAATGCAACACATCCAGGAGTGGCACGGTCCAGTTGCAGCAGAAGTGCAGAGTGTTTGAGGACCGGGACATTCGCAGGGAAGCCAAAATGCTTGTTTACAAAGCTATTGCACTACCAACCTTGCTGTATGCTTGGGAAACATGGACCACTTATAAACGCCATCTCCAGCTCCTCAAAAGATTCCATCAACAGGGTCTCCAAAATATTTTACACATCACTTGGGAAGACAGGAGAACTAATACCAGTGTACTAGAAGAAGCAAAGATCACCAGTGTTGAAGCAATGATTCTTCAACATCAGCTTCGTTGGACTGGTCATGTTGTTTGGATGCCTGATGATTGTCTTCCAAAGCAACTACTCTATTCCAAACTTAAAAATGGAAAGCGTAATGCTGGTGGTCAACAAAAGAGCTTTAATGACGCTCTCAAGGCAAATCTTTTAAAATGTAAACTCCGACAATTGGGAAACACTGGCCTGCGAGCGCCCCAGTTGGAGAACAGCCTTGACCAAAGGTGTCGTGGGCTTTGAAGACACTTGAACTCAGGACACAAGGGAGAAAGGTGCTAAGAGGAAGGTGCGCTTGGCAAATCCACACAGTGATCAGCTCCCGCCCGGAAACCAATGTCCCCACCGTGGAAGGACGTGTGGGTCCAGAATTGGCCTCCACAGTCACTTACGGACTCACTGTTAAAACCGTGTTCGTGGAAGACCATCTTACTCGGCTACCAGGGATCGCCCAAGAAGAAGAATATAAACTCCCCCCCCCGCCCCTCCCCGGCAGCCCTGGGACTTGCCCCTTCTCCCCCCTGCGCCCTATGGGGAAGAGAGAGGAGACTTACAAGATCCCAAAGGTGCCACCGACGCAGCTCTTGCAGAGGAGACGAAAATCTCCTCCTGGCAGAGAGGAAATGGGGGGGGGGGAATTTCCTCGGGAGGACCTCGTCCTCCCCCCTTATGTCCTGTCCTCTCTAGGAATGCAGCTCACTTCCTTTTAACACTTGCAAGGCGGAGCACTTCAAACGCACATCCTCTCTATTCAGGAGCCCGGGAGGAGCCTCGTACTTTGCAGACGCGTCGAGGCGCCTTCTTTGCGGAGGCCGAAATGAATCCAAAGGGGGCGGGAGACCCAGGACGCCCAAAGGGGGGAAGAGAAAGGAGACTCACCGGATCCCCGAAGGCGCCCCCGAGGCAGCACTTGCGGAGCAGAGAGACAACAGGCCCCCCCCCCCTTGCAGGAAGGGATGGGGAGGAAGGGTCTTTGGCTCTGGGGGACGTGGCCCCCTTTATTCCCAGTCCTCTCTCGGAATCCAGCCCAGTTCTTTTGAACCCTGGGCGAGCCGGGCGCACCCAGCTCCCCCTCTCCCTCCCTCTGCAAAGCAGGAGCCCCGGGCATCGCAGCCTCCAGGGGGGTCGTATGTGCATCCCTCCCACCATCACCAAAACGTCACGCCATGGTCAGAAAAGAGGAGTGGTTGTCATGCAGAAAGGAGAAAGTGTCGCCCCCCCCCCCCGCCAGTCATCCCAGCTCCCACCGCCTTGGAAGGAGCTGCTTCCCCAAAGAGCAAGAACGGGATTCACACCTCCTCCCAGTCGCGAGGCTTTCCTGCGCTTCTCCTCTGGAAGGATCCGGATTACTGCCTGGGGTATGGGCTGCCTCCTGGGGCGAAGCTGGATTCCCCCCTAAGGGCAAAGGACCTTATGCTTGAGGGAGGGAGGGAGGGAGGGGAGCCCTGGATTCCCCTCTGTTTCTGTCTTGCAAGAAACAAGGAAACAGGAGGATGCATTGTATCCGCTGTTGCCACATTTTGCAGCGCGCTTCTTCTCCGCTTTCTGCTCTCGGTTTCTTGCGCTCAAAGCGTCGCGCAAAAGAGCCGAGCTCTCCTGGCGGATCGCGCGCTCCAGACACGGGGCTGCTGCTTCCTGACTTCGGATTGGCTGCCTGTCACCTTTGGACGATGCCCATTGGTCAGCGATGGTTCTTTGAGAAATCCTGATGTTTCATTGAGGGGTTTCGGGACTCCATTGAAGGGTTTACAAGCCTCTTCGCTGCAGAACGGGGAGGGGGGTTTCTATGGGGGGGGGCACGCAGGCTCGTCGTCCTGCGTGGGTGAATGGGATTTGGGGGTGTTTGGATGGCCTCTTAGTCCCCGGCTCTACGAACAGCTTGCGGGGTGAAAGGCCCGGAGGGGTCGTCTGAGGTCTCTCTCACCCGACAAGGCTGTTTTGTTTGTTTGTTTGTTTAATTTTCAAATATCTTTATTGAAACTTAACATATATACATGATAACCAAAATTCCCAATGATTCCCTCACATAAAATATCATATCTAAATTATAACAGTTGCATAATCATACACTAAATTATCAAAGGCAAAGCTGCTTTGTTGTCCTGCAAGGGGCCAGGAGTGTCTCTGCAAGGCCGTCCTCTGGCGGTCCTTCTCCTCCTTTATTTCAACCCCTCATCCCCAGGGGCCTGAGCACTGGATCCCACCCCCTACCCCCTAGCAATGGAACGGGTTTCAGATATATATATGATACAAAAGTATCCAGCTTGCCTGTGGGGCTGGTGGGGGAACGTAAGGAAACACTCTTGCAGACCCCACGGCCTCCTCCAGCACTGGAACAGCTACGCAGCGTTCCCGGGAAGGAGTCCTGGTGTTCTGGGACTCCCAGCTGCTCTCTTGTGAGTACGCGGTCTAGCAGAGTAAAAGCAGCGCAGACGTATATCACACTTACACCGAAAACAGGGACGCAACTTAAGAACTACCGCCCCATATCACTGCTCAATGTGGATTATAAAATCTTTGCAGATATTTTGGCTAAAAGACTAAAAAAAGTGCTAGTGGAAGAGAGTCATAAAGATCAAGCAGGCTTTCTCCCGGGTAGACCCTTGTCTGATAATATGAGAAATATAATTAATATTTTAGAAAAATTACAAGTGAATATTAATACCAAGGCAGTTTTGATATTTGTGGACGCGGAGAAAGCTTTTGACAACATTTCTTGGAGTTTTATGAAGAAGAACCTACAGGGGATGGGTGTAGGTCAAGGCTTTGGAAATGGTATAAGTGCAATTTATTCAGAACAAAAGGCTAAATTAATTGTCAATAACGTGGTGATGGAGGAATTCAAGATAGAAAAAGGGACACGACAAGGTTGCCCAATCTCCCCATTGCTTTTTATATCGGTCCTGGAGGTCCTGCTGAATATGATTAGAAGGGACCAATTGGTTAAAGGTATACAAGTCGGAGCTAAACAGTACAAATTGAGAGCATTTGCAGATGACTTAGTATTGACATTACAGGAGCCCGAATCTAGTACTAAAAGAGTTTTGGAACTGATTCAAGAATTTGGTCAGGTTGCAGGATTTAAACTGAATAAGTTAAAAACAAAGGTCTTAGAGAAAAATTTAACAGCGATTGAGAGAGAGAGAGGTTTCAGAATGAGACAGGTTTAACAGTGGTTAAGAAAGTGAAATACCTGGGGATTAACATGACAGCTAAAAATGGGAATTTATTTAAAGACAATTATGAAAAATGCTGGACTGAAGTGAAAAAAGACTTAGAAATTTGGTCAAATGTGAAGCTTTCACTGCTAGGCCGTATTGCTGCGATAAAAATGAATGTATTGCCTAGAATGTTGTTTTTGTTTCAAACATTGCAAATTTTGGATAAAATGGATTGCTTCAAGAAGTGGCAGAGAGATATTTCTAGATTTGTCTGGCAGGGCAAGAAGCCTAGAATAAAATTTAAAATACTAACGGACGCAAAGGAAAGAGGTGGATTTGCCCTGCCAGACCTTAAACTTTATTATGTGTCAGGGAACTGACATCGGAGCTAGAGGCGGAGGGAAGGCTCTCAAATGATGCTGGAGAAGGGCCCAGCAGGGAGAGAGGCAGCTCAGCAGATGGGGAAGCAAATCAGCGCAACACCAGGGATAAAGAGGGGCTGATGGGGGAATCGGCGAGAGGGCTCCAGGACTCTTCACCAGACACCAGCGGGGAGAGCACAGGTCCTCCACTACCCACGCCCACCCTGCGCAGAAGACTGCTGCGCAGAGAGAGTAGGAGGAGACTGGGTGTCAAACAACTTTTATGTTGGAAAAGATTTAAGAAATGCCCACTGACGGATTCTGCTAGTGACTGAGGCAGCCACGAAGTGAAGGGCTCCCCAGACTGAAAGGTTTAGCAAGGCAACAAAGCCTGGAGAGGCGGCAACTTACGCACGAGCAACCCATACACATTACAGCAATCCGTCAGTCCCTGACGTCGCTCGTGCACAGCGACAGGCAGGCAGCATCATGAGCAAAACCGGAGAAGCTGGCGCCACGGAGGGAGCAGCTGGAGGGCAAAATCTGGTGGAGAGGAACCGAGATTTGGAGCAGCATGTGGCTCTGCTGACAGCGCGGCTGGACGAAAGGCGGTCTCAGGATGCTCAGGTCAGACCCACCCCCGTAGCAAGGAAGGTACCGGGACTGGTACACAAATTTGGAGGGAAACCCCAGGACTACAGTGCGTTCCGAACGGAAATAGAGTACGCGTTGGAACTGCAACAGAATGATTTTGCAGACGATGGGGAGAGGGTTGCCTATATTGTCGGACATCTGCAGGATGGGGCCAGAGATTGGATCAGGCCCCTAATGGCAACACAGAATGCCGCCTTGAAAGACCTGAGGAAATTCTTCCAGGCGATGGATGTGATGTTTTCCAGTGATGTACAGCAAAGTGTGACTCGGCGGGAACTGATGGGTTGCAAACAGGGGAACCAGTCAATTAGAGACTACTGGTCACGCTTTGCAATGTTAGTCCACCGGCTCGGGTGGGATTTGGACTCTGAACCTATTCAAATGCTGTTCGAGGAGGGGTTGTCCCCAACGGTGAAGGACGAGCTTTCCCGCACACCCCGCCCGCAGTCAATGGATCAGCTGACCAAGGCTGTGCTTGCGATTGGTGTAAGGCAGGAAGCGCGGGCCCAGGAGAAGCGGGAAGGGAGAGAGCAACGTTACCATGACTACCGCATTCCTGAAATACCAAGGCAGCCTTCCCCACCGGCGGAGCCCATGGAAATAGATGGGGCGCGCGCGTGGGAGATTTCAAACTCCAGTGAAGGTCGCAAGAGAGAGGGAAAGGATGGGAAAACCACCAAGAAGTGTTTTCTCTGCCAGCGGCCAGGACATTTTGCCAGGGTCTGCCCACAAAGAAAGGCCTGGCAAGGGATGGTGGGAGCTGCAGGGGGTGAGGAGGAGATGGTAAAGGAGCAGCGAAACGCCAAAGCTTGGCTGCCACTCAGCGGGCACAGCAGCCAGGCCAGCAACCAATAGAAGTGCCCAAACCAGACCCCCCCAGGGCGGCTATAGCCATAGAAGTGGTGCTAGAACTCCCAAATGGGCACCCAGTCAAGGTGAAAGGGCTGTTGGATTCAGGCAGTTCCTGCAATTTCTTCAGCAAGGACTTTGCACTAGAGCACCAGCTCCACCTGCTGCCCCTGGATTTCCCTTTGCAAGTAACCACCATTGATGGCAGGGAGCTTCTGGGAGGGGAAGTGACGCACCAGACCCCACCAATGAGAATGAGGGTTTCCAGGCACACGGAGACTATCGCCTTTCACGTAGCCTCATTGGCAGGGCCCCCAATAATATTAGGAATGAGCTGGCTAGCACAACATGATCCAGTGGTGGCATGGCATCAGAGAACGGTCACCTTTGGGTCCGCTTACTGCTTGGAACACTGTCTAGGGGGAGAAACCCCAAGAATGACCGTGGCGAGGGTGGCTGGGATAGCTGTGGAGCCAGAAGGGGAGGTGCCACCACAATATGCTGACCTGCAGGAGGTCTTCAGTGAGAAGGAGGCAGATAGACTACCCCCACATAGGCCCTTTGACTGCCAAATCAACTTGCTCCCTGGGGCGCAGCTACCGGTGGGTAAACTGTATGCCATGTCGGACAGGGAGATGAAGGAGTTGTGGGAGTTTATTGACAAGAACCTGAAGAGGGGGTTCATAAGGGAATCAAAGGCAGTGGGGGGCAGTCCGGTGTTCTTTGTGGACAAAAAAGGGACTAACCAGCCCAGATTGGTCCTAGATTTTAGGGCGTTAAATTTGGTATCAGAACCCGTGACATTCCCAATGCCCAGGATTGACGACATTTTAACACGGGTGAGGCAGGGAAAGATTTTTACCAAGCTGGACCTCAGGGGAGCGTACAATTTGATCAGGGTAAGGGAGGGGGACGAATGGAAAACCACCATGTTCACCCCCCTGGGGGCTTTTGAGTACTTAGTTATGCCATTTGGATTACAGTCAGGCTCCGCCTGTTTTCAAGCTTTCATGCACCACGTGTTGGGGTCCCTGCTGTACAAGAACTGCGTAGCCTTCTTGGACGACGTCTTAATCTATTCGGACAATGAGAAGCAACATGTCAGAGACGTCAGGGAAGTGCTGAAGAGACTGCAGAAGCACCAGTTGTGGGTCAAGCTGGAGAAATGTCAGTTTCACGCCAGAGAAGTCGAGTTTTTGGGGTACAAGTTGTCAGACAAAGGCTTAGCGATGGACCCAAGCAAGGTGCAGGCAGTGCTGGAGTGGAAGGCTCCCCAAACCCGGAAGGATGTGCAGAGGTTCCTAGGGTTCAGCAACTTCTACAGGAAGTTCATCAAGAACTTCACCCACTTGACAGCACCCATCACAGACTGTCTCAGTAGCAAAAGGAAGTTCGCCTGGACAGAGGAGGCCCAACAATCCTTTGAAAAACTGAAGAAGGCGTTCGCTTCGGAAAAGCAGCTCCTGCACGTGGATCTGGAGAAACCCATGAGGCTAGAGACCGACGTGTCCGACAGAGCCATTGGGGCGGTTCTTTTGCAGCCAGGGAGGAGCAAGCAGGAATGGAGACCGTGTGCCTTTTTCTCAAGAAAGCTGAACAAGTCGGAGCAAAACTATACTGTGTATGACCGCGAACTGCTTGCGATCTATGCGGTGTTTCGTCAATGGCAACATCTACTAATAGGGGCGCAGCACAAGATCCAGGTTTGTACAGATCACAAGATCTTGGAATACTGGAGGACCGCAAGAGTGCTCAACCAGAGACAGATTCGATGGGCACAGGAGTTCTCCAAGTTTTCCTTCGAAATCCGATACGTGCCAGGAGAGGAAAACGTGAGAGCAGATGCTCTCTCCCGGAAACCGGAGTACTTGGAAGGAGAGGGGCCACCGGAGATACGACACGTGATCCCCGAGGACCGATGGGTGTGTGTGGAAACCTTGGTGGGGCAACGAGAACTGGCTGGACTTACTAGAAACGACGTGTTCGCACAAACTAAAATCCGGGAACTCCGAGATGGAAGAGAAACCCAAGGAGGGTTTGAGGAGAAGGAAGGGGTGCTGTACTATAAGGGGGTGCTGTATGTACCGGGGGAGACCCTACGGGGGAAGGTACTCAAACAACTCCACGACAACCCCACAGCGGGGCACTTTGGACAGCACAAAACCATGATGCTCGTCACCAGGCAGTTCTGGTGGCCCAGGGTGAGGGAGGATGTACTGGAATATGTACGGGGTTGCGACCGCTGCCAAAGGGCAAAGGGGGAGCGGGCTGCCCCCACAGGATTACTGGAACCCTTACCCACGCCGGGAAAACCTTGGGAGGTGGTATCCATTGATTTTATGACCGATTTGCCCAAGTCCCGGGGGAAGACAGCGGTCATGGTAGTGGTCGATCTCCTAACAAAGATGTGCCATTTTATAGCTTGCTCACATGCGGTCACGGCAGAGGAAACAGCCAGGTTGTTTGTAGATCACATCTTCCGGTTGCATGGGGCTCCTTCGAGGGTCATCTCCGACCGCGGGAAACAATTTACTTCCCGTTTCTGGAGGAAGCTCATGAGCTTGCTGCAGGTCGAAGTGGGCTTCTCAACGGCGAGACACCCGGAAACCAACGGGCAAGCAGAAAGAGCGAACAGTATTCTCCAGGAATACCTACGCTACTACGTCAGCGAGAGGCAGAACGATTGGGTAGAAAAACTAGCACTGGCTGAATTTGCGTACAATAACGCTGAACATGTGTCAACGGGAATGAGCCCGTTCATGGCCAATTATGGGTGTCACCCCAGGGCCTTCCCGGGGAGTGGGGAGGAAGGTTGGAGTGTACCGGCAGCAGAGCAGTTTGTGGAAGAAATGGAAGCCCTGCACCAGCAACTTAAGATGAACTTGGAGCAGGCCAAGGAAATTTACAAGAGGCAGGCAGACAAGGGCCGTAGGGAAGGGGAGACCATACGGGTGGGAGATCGGGTGTGGTTGTCAACCCAAGGGTTACCTTTTAAGGGGGGGGGTGCAAGAAGTTGCAACCCAGGCGGCTGGGACCGTTTGAGGTAACACAGCAGGTGAACCCCATGGCATTCAAGCTCAAATTGCCAGACAGCATGAGGATACACCCGGTGTTCCATAGGTCCCTACTCTCACCGTACAGGGAAGGAAGGGGATTCCCGGGGCGAGAGGGAGAAGTCACCACACACCCGCAGGTAGAAGAGAGGGAGCACCACCACTTGGCCACGGAAATACTTGATTCAAGGTGGCGAGGGCGCCAGGTGGAGTACTTGGTGGCTTGGGAGGGAGAACCCGGGTCGGAAAACACGTGGGTTCCCACGGAGGCAATCACTGACGGGTATCTGGTGGAGGAATTCCACCGCCTGTTCCCGGACAAACCCAAACCACTAGCAAGATTCTGGGAGGAGCAATTTGGAACCACAGACGATGAAGAGGATTTTGTGGGTTTTTCTGTCTCCGAAGGGGAGGGAGAAGAGGCTTCGGAGGAAGAAGAATCAGCCTGGGAGGCCCACCCCGCGGGAAGGGATCAGAGCAGGTGGGAAGCGGGTTTTGAATCCTCAGAGGATGGCGACAGGGGGTCCTGGGGGGGAGGTGGATGTCAGGGAACTGACATCGGAGCTAGAGGCGGAGGGAAGGCTCTCAAATGATGCTGGAGAAGGGCCCAGCAGGGAGAGAGGCAGCTCCGCAGATGGGGAAGCAAATCAGCGCAACACCAGGGATAAAGAGGGGCTGATGGGGGAATCGGCGAGAGGGCTCCAGGACTCTTCACCGGACACCAGCTGGGAGAGCTCGGGTCCTCCGCTACCTACGCCCACCCTGCGCAGAAGACTTCCACGCAGAGAGAGTAGGAGGAGACTGGGTGTCAAACAACTTTTATGTTGGAAAAGATTTAAGAAACGCCCACTGACGGATTCTGCTAGCGACTGAGGCAGCCACGAAGTGAAGGGCTGCCCAGACTGAAAGGTTTAGCAAGGCAACAAAGCCTGGAGAGGCGGCAACTTACGCACGAGCAACCCATACACATTACATTATGAATCAGCAGCTTTTTGCTGGCTGAAAGAGTGGCTACTTCTTGAAAACACAAACATTTTGGATTTAGAAGGTTTTAATAATGTATTTGGATGGCATGCATATTTGTGGTATGATAAGGTCAAAGCACATAAAGCATTCAAAAATCATATTGTCAGGAAAGCGTTGTTTAATGTCTGGATAAGATATAAGGACCTACTTGAAAATAAAACCCCAAGGTGGTTGTCACCGATGGAAGCGAAGGCTCTGAAAAGGCTCAATATGGAGGCCAAATGGCCGAAATATTGGGAAATTTTGGAACAAGAGGGAGACAAATTGAAATTGCAGAGTTTTGAAAAACTAAAAAATAAAGTGCAAGATTGGCTTCATTATTATCAGATAATGGAGGCATATAATTTGGATAAGAAAATTGGCTTCCAGGTGGAAAAATCAAAATTGGAAACAGAACTGTTAGATTCCAAAACCAAGATTTTGTCAAAGATGTATAACCTGCTGTTGAAATGGAATACTCAGGATGAAACGGTGAAATCTGCTATGATTAAATGGGCACAAGATGTTGGACATAACATAATGATGGCTGACTGGGAACAGTTATGGACCACAGGTATGAAGTTTACGGCATGCAATGCCTTAAGAGAGAATATTATGAAAATGATATACAGGTGGTACATGACCCCAGTCAAGCTTGCAAAAATCTATCATTTGCCCGATAATAAATGTTGGAAATGTAAAGAAACTGAAGGTACATTCTTTCACCTTTGGTGGACGTGCCCAAGGATTAAGGCTTTCTGGGAGATGATTTATAATGAAATGAAAAGGGTATTTAAATATACCTTTCTGAAGAAACCAGAGGCCTTTCTCCTGGGCATCGTCGGCCAATTGGTGTTAAAGAAGGATAGAACTTTCTTTATGTATGCTACAACAGCAGCAAGAATACTTATTGCAAAGTATTGGAAGACACAAGATTTACCCACTCTGGAAGAATGGCAGATGAAGGTGATGGACTATATGGAACTGGCGGAAATGACTGGCAGAATCCGAGACCAGGGAGAAGAGTCGGTGGAAGAAGATTGGAAGAAATTTAAAGACTATCTACAGAAATACTGCAAAATTAACGAATGTTAGAATGATGTTGGATTGAAGTTAAGTGGTTTTTAGTAGCAATGTTATAAAGGAATATGTAAAAATGGATTGTTAACAGGTGATAATCTAAAGTTATAATATATTAAGATAAAAGATTAAGATAAAATCAAAGAGGGAAAGGATTTGCTGAATTAACTAATTTGAATTGGAATACAAAAAAGGGAGGTGTGAGGAGGGGGAAACAAGCAAATGAAAGATAAGATATGGAAAGACTAATCTGTTTTTTAACTGTTTTTATCTTGTATTTTTATTTTCTTTTTTCCCCCCTCTCTTTTTTTCTTTCTTTTTTCGCTTATTTTTGTAATATGTTGAAACTTTAATAAATATCTTTTAAAAAAAAAAAAGCAGCGCAGACGGAGATGAGCAGGAGAGAAGAAGGAGCCCCACCAATTTGCAGCTTAGAGGCGCTGGAAGAGAAAGCTCTGTGAACCTCTCTACTCATGATGTGAACCACCCTGGCATCGTCAGATCAACGGTGCTCTAGAAATTTAATAGCTATAGAAGTAATAAATAAAGCTTGGGTGGTAAGAATTTGCTTCTACACCATCAGTTTGTTTCCCAGGTGAGGGAACACAAATATAAACACGAGACCAAGGGAATGAGAGCAATTTTGTTGGGACCCAGTTTATTCATTTTTATTTTTTTAATGATTTTTATTAAGGTTTCAGTAAAAAGTTAAACAGAAAAACATAAAAAAGAAATACACAAATACACAGTACATAATCCAAAAAAAGAAGAAAAACACAGAAAACAGAAAACAAACAAAAAAAAAGAAACAGAACAATTAAAAACAATATCACCTTTTCATTTCCGTTTTTAAGTTTACTTATTTTCTGGACCTCCTCATACCTCCCTCTTTTGTATTCCAGTCCAAATTGTTCGTCCAGCAATTTCTTTTCCACTTTTTTAATCCCAATCTTTAATCTTAATGTAATATAGCATTAAAATTTTACCTCTTAAGTACCAAATTTCCATTTCCTTAAACTTCTTTAATCCTAATCTTTAATCTTAGTCTATCTATAACTTTATCCTGTACAGCTGGAAACCACTTATTTTCAATCCAACATCACTCTAACATTCTTTAATTTTGCAGTGTTTCTGTAGATAATCTTTAAATTTCTTCCAATCTTCCTCCACCGACTCTTCTCCCTGGTCACGGATTCTGCCAGTCATTTCCGCCAGTTCCATATAGTCCATCAGTTTCATCTGCCATTCCTCCAGCGTGGGAAGTTCTTGTGTCTGCCAATACTTTGCAATGAGTATTCTTGCTGCTGTTGTTGCATACATAAAGAAAGTTCTATCCTTTTTTAACACCATTTGGCCGACTATGCCCAGGAGAAAGGCCTCTGGTTTCTTGGGGAAGGTCGGGACCCAGTTTATTCAAACTATTGCAATAGGACAGCCTTGCTAACCAGTTGTTCAGCAGAGCGGCTAGTTCGAAAAGGCTTCCAGGAGGCACATTAGAAGAAAGCTAATATACACAGCACACAAAGACTCATAAAATGCCACAACACTCTTCCACTTGCATCAAGAAAGGTCTCAGATCATGGGACGTGTGGCTTAATGCGAATATCGACTCCCACAGTTCCCAGGCCATTTGTTAGGCTGTTAGGCTGCTGAATGAAAAGATAAAAACAGGGCAACTGACTTTCGGGTTTGGTGGGTGGGAATTAAGACTAAGAGAGCTGAGTGGGGTGTGTGTGTGCTTGTGTAATCTCACTGTATATAAGTTGCACAAGTGACAATAAAGTATTTCTATTTCTATTGTATTTGGGTCTCATATGTCTCACTTCAACAATGTTCCAAGCAACCAGGCTAAGGAGATGCTAGCTCAACACTTCTCCCTTTCTCTCTTTCCCAAAACATCACCTGCCCTTCTGGGGTCAGAAAAGGCTGCAAGGTGTAGGGAACATACACATCACAGCTTTACATAGTTCAGGAGGGTGGAATGAGGGTTACAAAATGCAGGCATACAAATCAAGACTCATACATTCTATCTAAAATGTTAAATGCAATTAACTAGGACACTTCAAACAAAATTAAAATCATTAATATCTAATTCAATCAACTATCTCAAATTTTACACCAACTCCTTCCAAGGAAAGATCAGCATGGACAGCAACCTCATCAGTGTCACCCAATCACTGTTATCCCTCTCCCCAGGCATGACATGAAGAAGGAATTCAACACCTTGGCGAAGGACTTTCAAGTCACAGTTCTGGGTACGTGGTAGGAATTACTATGGGGCACCAGATGTGGCAAAGAACCCGGCTGCAACCATTACCTCATACGAACTAAAGTCTCCTCCAATTAAATCTGTACACAGCCACTACTGTAGTTCGCTCCCACTGTGAGTTCTTTGATGGGAAGCAAGACGGGCCCTGTGGCTGAAAGTCTTTCCATACACTTGGCACCGAAATGGTCTCTCACTTTTGTGAATTCTTTGATGGGAAGAGAGATGGCTGCTCTGACTGAAGCTCCTTCCACATTCCAAGCACTGATATGGCTTGTCCCCTGTATGAATTCTTTGGTGGGAAGTGAGATGGCTGCTCTGACTGAAGCTCTTCCCACATTCCACACACTGATAGGGCTTTTCTCCTGAATGAATTCTTTGATGGGAAGTGAGAGATGCCGTCTGATTGAAGCTCTTTCCACATTCTAAGCACTGATATGGCTTCTCCCCTGTATGAATTCTTTGATGGACAGTGAGCTGGCGTCTGTGAATGAAGCTCTTTCCACATTCTGAGCACTGATAAGGTTTCTCCCCTGAATGAATTATTTGATGGACAGTAAGTTGGCTTCTGACAACAAAGCTATTTCCACATTCCAAGCACTGATATGGTTTCTCTCCTGTGTGAATTCTTTGATGGACAGTAAGCTGGTGGTTGTCACTGAAACTCTTTCCACATTCCAAGCACTGATATGGTTTCTCCCCCGTATGAATTCTTTGATGGACAGTGAGCTGGCACTTGTGAATGAAGCTCTTTCCACATTCTGAACACTGATAGGGTTTCTTCCCAGTATGAATTCTCTCATGGACAGTGAGCTGGCGTTTGTGAATGAATCTCTTTCCACATTCCAAGCACTGATAGGGTTTCTCCCCTGTATGAATTCTCTGATGGGAAGTGAAACTGTCCTTTTTTCTGAAGCTCCTCCCACACTCTTGGCACTGATAAGGTTTCTCTCCTGTATGAATTGTTTGATGGGCCATGAGCTGGCCTCTTTGAATGAAGCTCTTTCCACATTCCAAGCACTTATATTTTTTCTCCCCTGTATGAATTTTTTCATGGTCAGTGAGGTGGCTTCTGTGAATGAAGCTCTTTCCACATTCTGAACACTTATATGGTTTCTCCCCTGTATGAATTCTTTGATGGACAGTGAGCTGGCCTTTGTGTATGAAGCTCTTTCCACATTCCAAGCACTGATGGGGTTTCTGCCCTGTGTGAATTATTTGATGGACAGTAAGCTTGCGTCTGTGAATGAAGCTCTTTCCACATTCCAAGCAGTGATAGGGTTTCTCTCCCGTATGAATTCTTTGATGGGCCATGAACTGGCCTTTTTGAATGAAGCTCTTTCCACATTCCAAGCACTGATAAGGTTTCTCCCCTGTATGAATTCTTTGATGGGAAGTGAAACTGTCCTTTCGACTGAAACTCTTTCCACACTCCAAGCAATGATAGGGTTTCTCCCCTGTATGATTTCTTTGATGGACAGTCAGACTGAAGCTGTGAAGGAAGCTCTTTCCACACTCCAAGCACTGATAGGGTTTCTTCCTGATGGGATTTATTTGATGGGAAGTGGAACGGGAGCTCTGACTGAAGCTCTCTCCACAGTCTGAATCCTGATATGGCTCCTCCACTGTGTGGATTTTGTTGTGGTCTCCCTTGTTCTTCATTTCCAATTCATCACCACCTGCAACTGAGAGAGAAATGGATTAGAGCCGCAAATTATGGAGCAATGATAAATAATGCTTGTGACCCAGGAAGAACTATAGGGAGTTAGATGTGAAGTCTTCCTACATAGTTTACTGTCTGCAATTCAAAAGGTCTGGCTCTTTTCTGGGATGGATTCTGTTTGGCCTAATCATGGAATCTGTGTCATCTCCAATGTCAATCTATCTTTGGTCAATCAAAAACACAAAGAAGCAAGAACAATAACAAGGAACCTAGGAAAAGCTACTTCTACATCCTAAATCACTCTGAGGCCTACATTGAAGAAGGCCTGGGCAGTTCAGAGGAGCCTGATCATGGTTTGAAAAGGCAGAACTGGAGGAAGAATATTCACAGGGAAAGCAGTCAATAGTCTTTCATCCAAGGCTTGCTGTTGAGCCCCATTGAAATATCAGAGGTTCCTCCCATAGAGAGATGTGTTCAATTTCAAAGCAGATAGGATGATCCAATAGGAGGCCTTACCTAAAGAGTCCAAGATCCCACGATTCTCCTCCATGACTTCCTTATGCAGAGCTCTCTGGTCAGGATCCAGCAACGCCCACTCCTCGTCTGTGAAATGGACAGCCACATCTTTAAAGTACACTGGGCCCTAAAAGAAAAAGGTTGTCCTCTTAGACAACATCAAGGTCAAGAGTTACACTTTACTCTGTTATTTTCTGCCTCTTAACTGCTGTTCTTTTTTAATGGGTTTGTTTTGTTGCACATTTTAATTATGGATAAATATTTCAATGTGTTAATGGAATAATTCATTGTGTATTTTAATGTGAGCTATTAAGAACCTGGTGTTCTTCAAATCATTCTCTTTGTGCAAGCAATCCTATGCAAGGATCCCATTTCCCTGTGTGCTGTTCTGGGGGTCAGGAGGCCCTCCCGATGCCCTAAGAGCAAGTTCAAGAGGTGAATGGGGGAATGAGGAGGATGGGGGGGGGGAAGCCCCTTTGTGTGAATGATGGCGCTGGTTAGGTGTGCCCTGGTCATGGTTTGATACAGTGTGAAAACGCTTAGAAGCCTATTTTAACATTCAATCTAGAAATGAAACTGTAATGACTTATAAACATGTGGGAATGTTCAGGGATGCAGGAGAGGATATATTGTTTGATTATAGCCTTTCCAACTTGTGTAAACAAGTTCACAATTTAGAAGTAACATTCCCCTTTTTAAACTCACAGCGGATGCGTTTGCTCAGGCTCGCTAAAGCCTCTGTAACTGTTCTGGTATTTTCCCCTTTTTCCCTCATAAAAGATAAGACATGACACAGTGTTCTATAAAACCGTAAAAAGAGTTTACTCACATTCTGTTCACAATAGGATCCCAGAAGGCAGACTTTGCTTAGAAAAGTAACATATACCTGGAAACTATCTCATAAGGAGACAGTCCCTTTGTCCTCTCTTGGCTAAGCAGATGTTGCTTCTTCGATGCATGTAGTCAAAGAGAGAGAGATGGCTGCCCTGCCCTGTGCTTTTGTTGTTACCTGCACAGGTGAGGCCACGCCCACCTCTAGTCACATGAGGAGGAAGTCTGTCACAGACCAGAAGGAAACAGGAAGTTTACCTGCTGGCTGGACAAACATTCCTCCTCATGTGTAAACATGTTCACTCTAGGAATGTTGTACTTGACTGCTCTTCTGTTTCACATCCCACAAAACAATCCTAGCGACATTCAGAAGGTGCGTTAAGGGGACGCTGCTGTTCCTTATTCTCAGCACATAAACCTCCCCAAATAGCATTTCAGCCTTTGTTTAGGTCCTCTTTGAGGGAAGCCAGGAGGAGGAGAGAGATGTGTTCATGCTAGAGGCAGCCTGGTTGCCCCACCTCTCTGCCTACACAGAACGGGTGATTTTAACTCTTAATTAGAAAAAGATAGGATCTTTGTAGGATTGCCAGGCCTAATGACCTACTTTTCTCCGTAGGTCTTGCCATTAGGAGACAGCTGCAGAGACAAAAGGCCCCACTTTCTCCCAGCTAAGTCCCTTCCTTTCCATAATACTCCATAAGCAATCTGAGACTGCTCCTCCTGCTTCTTGGCTCTCCGGGTTGTGGGAGTCAAGCAGGGAGGAGAGCTTGCTGCAGGAGGATGGGGAGACCCCTTGCCTCTACACAAGCCAGACCCCTCTCTGCCTTCCTCATCCCTCTCTCCTGCTTCCTCTTCTGCCTCTGAGTCTGGACTGCTCTCTGCCACAGACTCCCTCTGCTCACGAAGTCCTGTTGCCTCTCCAGCTTCTGACACCTCCTCCTCCCAGTCTCCTTCCTTTTCTCCCTCTGACCCCTCATCATCGTCCCACCACCCCTCGCTTGGCCCTAGCCTTCGTTCCTTGGCAGTTCCTCCCACCATTCCTCTGTGTCCAACCAGTCCATGACATCCTCTTTCCCCACAAGGCTCCTTCCTCCTACCTGATCTGGTTTCCCAGCTGCTGCTTCTCCTCCGCCATCGTGAGGAGATGGTTGAGCAGGTCTTGCTGGCATCGTCCTGTCACCTACGAGAGACAAAGGTCACGAGTGCCTGCTTCTCTCAGAGGGGAAACTATGGATGGGCCTTCAAAAAAGTACCCCTTTAGGATGTTTGTACCCATTTCACATTTTAGTTGTGCAAAAACATATCTCCTTTTCTCTGAATTTTTCACCCCAAGTATCTTCTCCAAAAGATGAAAAGTACTCACAGATTTCTTTCAAAATCTACAACATGTGACAAAATGGAGAAAAAACTCATTCCTCCTTACCCAGTGGCCTCTCTCGGGTATCCAACGGAGTCGGTTCTGCCTCAGAGAAATCCAGACCCATTTCTGCAAACAGTTCTTTCCCCTGAAACAGCGAAAAGCATTCAAAACAGAGCATGAGGAGAAGGATTAGAAATGGAATGGCCCTTCCTTAGATGCTTTCCAAAAAAGGATGGGCCATTAGGAATTGATTTGGGAATACTCTCCCTCCTCTTAGGAGCCCCTTGGGAGTATCCAGAGGAAAGTCTCTCTCACCTGCTGCTCTGCCTGCTTCCTCTCCTCTGCCTGACTCAGGAGGAAACCTTCGGCCAGGGCCACCGCCTGGGAACTGGTCTCCGCTCCACATTCCCTCACCCAGCTCTCCATCTCCAGAGGAAGGACAGCCAGGAACTGCTCCAAGATCACCAGGTCCAGCATCTCAGCTTTCGTGTGCCTTTCTGGCTTCAGCCATTGATAGCAAAGGTGGTAGAGTTGGCTGCAAACCTCTCGGGGTCCTTTGGCCTCCTGGTAGCAGAACTGACTGAGCTGCTGGCTCTGTACCTCTGAGCAAGGGGTGTCCTCCTCACCTGGGTTCTTCTTCACAGAGTTTTCCCAGAATTCCCCACTGCTCCCCATTTCCATGGCATGGCCTCTTCCTGCTTCAGGGCCAGCTGAGTCTTGCTCATCCATCTCTGTTCTCAGGACACCTCCAGGAGATCGGAAGAATCCTTTGGCCTTCTGCCAGTCATAATGAGAGGTGCCTGCTGTATTTTTTTCTATTAATTGCTTTGTTTATTATTTTCCATATATATACAACACATAATTATCTTCATTTCAGTCAGTCCGATAAAGATATCTAGGTTCACCAAAAAAAATAGAAAGAAAAAAGTATAAAAAAAATAGAAAAAGAAAAAGAAATTCAAATACAATTTTAACTATGTATTTTCTACACATACATTTTACCTCCCATTTTCTCCGTATTTCCCTTTATATTATATTAAATTTATTGTTATTATTTGTAAAAATTCTCTTTTCTATTTTGATATCATTTTCCTTTATATATACTATTTACAGAAATCATTCAAAGGCAACTAGCATGTTTATATTACAACTATTTTTCAAGTAGTTCTTAAAATTATCCCATCCTAGAATGAACTCCTGTCTGGGTTTTTCTCTAATTCCTTCAGAAAGAGAGGCTAATTCCACATAGTCTGTAAGTTTGAGTAACCAGTTTTTTCTGGTAGGAAGTTTGTAATTTTTCCAATATATTGCAATAGTCACCCTCGCGGCCGTGGTTACGTACAAAAAAAAATTCCTTAGACCCTTGGTGATATCTGTGCCTGTAATGCTCAGAAGAAATGTTTCTGTTTTTTTAGGGAAATCGACCTTTAACATTATTTTTAGTTCTGAGTGAATGTCGTTCCAGAACTCTTTGATCTTCTGGCATGGCCACCATATATGAATCATGGTGCCTCCTGCTTCCCCGAATCTCCAACATACATCTGGTGTATTTTTATACATCTTGGAGAGTTTGTGCGGCGTCAGGTAACACCAGTATAACATTTTTTGCATATTTTCCCTTATGGAACAACAGGCGGTAAACCTCCAATTTACCTTCCACAAATTCTCCCATTGGGACATCTGTATGGTGTGACCTAGATATTGGGTCCATTTAATCATGGCCGACTTAGCCTCCTCCTCCTTGACTTCCCAGAAGGTCGGCGGTTCGAATCCTTGTGACGGGGTGAGCTCCCGTTGCTCGGTCCCTGCTCCTGCCAACCTAGCAGTTCAAAAGCACACAAAAAATTGCAAGTAGATATATCAGTACCGCTCCGGCGGGAAGGTAAATGGTGTTTTCGTGCGCTGCTCTGGTTCGCCAGAAGCGGCTTAGACCTGCTGGCCATGTGACCCAGATGCTGTACGCCGGCTCCCTCGGCCAATAAAGCGAGATGAGCGCCGCAACCCCAGAGTCGGCCATGACTGGACCTAATGGTCAGGGGTCCCTTTACCTTTACTTTAAGGAGAAGAGAAATGATCCCTGGGCAAGCGTGGGTGAGTCTTGCTTGGGACCAGGGCTGGACTGCACCACAACTCAGACTCTGAGCGACACCAAGTGAAGCTGCCTGGGTGCCAGGATAGCAGCTGGCATCTCCACCATCTGGGTATCATTGGATCTGGACTGTTTTCACGCACTAATACCCCATCCTGTAGAATGCCATCAGCTATATTTTATTGGCACATGCAGAATGAATTCCTGGAACCAAAATGCTTTTTCTGTGCACTCTGAGCAGGAGCAGCAAACAACATTATAGTGAATTGTTTTCACTTGTCTTTGCCTACCCGACTGCCCTGTTCACGGTTGTGAAGAATATCCCTACGTCATGAATGGTCCATGTCACCATTAAGAAAGAGAGTTTGGAACAGGCCAATATATCTGTGGACTGCCCCTGGATCAAGGGACTTTTCTTCTTAAGTTCTCAAAACTCTTAATCCAACTCAAGGTCATCTGAACTAGCAGGATGTTTAACTGAGAATCAATCACAGTCAGTCCATCATTTGAAAAATAAGACTTGAGAGCTGTCTTGCTCCAAAATGGCAACCTTGGCTTAAGGAGCCATTTGGCCCCTAGCTTATATATCTGGGTTTCTAACATTGCCTCCCTTTTCCCACTTTCCTGCTGCAGCTTCTGCCTCTGTCTGGACTGCTCTCTGCCACAGACTCTCCCCACTCACTAAGCCCTGTTATCTCTTCAGCTTCAGACGCATTTTCCCAGTCTGCTCCCTCCCCTGGCCCACAGCCACCTTCCCTTGGGGTCCCCCAGCTGGTTCCTCTCGCTGTTCCTCTGTGTCCACCCAGTCCATGCAGCTCCCTCCTTGCATCATTTATTCTGTTACCACCAGGTTGCGCTCTGCTTTCCATTTGGTCTCCTGTTCTTACTGGGGCCAACCAGGGGCCTCTTCTGGGAAGCCCACCAGCAGGACTGAAGACCTAGGGCAACTCTCCCCTGCGCTTCCCAGTAGCTGGCCTTCAGAAGCATGGCTGTCTCTGGCTGTGGAAGCAGAGCATGGCCAGCATGGCCAGGACGTTTCCAAGCACAATTCAAAGTGTTGGTGCTGACCTTGAAAACCCTAAACGGCCTCGGTCCTGTATACCTGAAGGAGCGTCTCCACCCCCATCGTTCTGCCCAGACACTGAGGTCCAGCTCCGAGGGCCTTCTGGCGGTTCCCTCCCTGCGAGAAGCCAAGTTACAGGGAACCAGGCAGAGGGCCTTCTCGGTGGTGGCACCTGCCCTGTGGAACACCCTCCCAGCAGATGTCAAGGAAAGAAACAACTATCTGACTTTTAGAAGACATCTGAAGGCAGCCCTGTTTAGGGAAGTTTTTCATGACTGATGTTTTAATGTATTTTTAATCTTTTGTCGGAAGCTGCCCAGAGTGGCTTCCCAGCCAGATGGGTGGCACATAAACAATAATTTGTTGTTGTTGTTGTTGTTGTTGATAAATCGTTTTGTTGTTGTTATTGTTGTCAATAGCCCCCTGCTCCTCCCTGATTGGCCTCATCCTCTTTGAAAACCCTCTTGCTTGGTGACCAGCCCTTCCTCCTGTGGCAGGGAGTTCCATGGGTCTAACTGCGCACTGTGAGATGCATGGACTTTGTTTATTTGTTCACCATACAGACCAAGTTTCAGCGTCCAAAGGTTTCCATCTGGGTGCGACCTCGGTTAATAAATGTGACCGATTCCTCAATCCCATTGGGGTCCCTTTGCAGGCCCTTTTCTCCCTGGCTCAGTGACCCCTCCCCAAAGGGGCCAAGCAGCGTCTCCATCCAAGGGAAGAGGAGAGCTGCGGAGCTCCTGCCCCCTCGCCCCCTCCCTGGCTTTGTAGAGAAGGAAGGGTGCAGAACCCTGACTTGGGGGTCCTGGACAGGCACCCCATGCACCCTGCCCTGCAGCCCTGGGACCCCCAATGCGCCCTATGGGGAAGAGAGAGGAGACTTACCAGATCCCAAAGGTGCCAGTGGCGCAGGTCTTGCAGAGGAGACGAAAGCCACCCCCTTTCAGGGAGAAAGCTGGGAATGTGGGAAGCGCTTTCCTTCTCCTTCGGGAGGACCTCGGCCTCCCCCCCCCCTTATTTCCCGTCGTCTCTAGGAATTGCAGCTCGGTTCCTTTTAACCCTTGCAAGGCTCACCTTCTTTTTATCTCAGGATCGCAGGAGGAGCCAAGCGCACTGCAGACACCCTGAGATAAAGCCAAAGAGGGGCGGGTCAAGCGCGAGGCTCGATCATCTCAGCGTCGTGGGTTCGAGCCCCAGGTTGGGCAAAATAGTTCTACCTTGCGGGAGGTTGGACTAGGTGACCCTGGTGAGCCCTGATAATAATAATAATTTGCTATTTTTAGGACCCTCTTGCCTGGCCTTCTGAGCTGATCCTTTTCACCCTTGCAAAGCGGAGCTCCTCCCGCTTCCCTTCTCCCTCCCTCCCTGGAGTCCCATGCATTGCACACACCCAAGGGGTCTGATTTGGGGGACCCTCTAGGCTGGCCTTCAGCTCTCCAAAAGCGGAGCCCCGGCAAGCAGGAGGTGGCGGCGGGGGTGTGTGTGGGGGGGCTCCATCCTCGCTCCGAGCCCCGTCGGAAAAGGCACCTGTCAGGCTGCAAGCCTTGGCTGGCGTGGGGCTCTCCGGCCAACCTCTTCGGGCCACGAGCGTGCCTCTGAGCACACGCAGAGTGCGCCTGCCTCGGAGCAGGAGGCAGCTCGGCCAGACCAGTCCCGCGCGCCCGCGCGCCCCCGCCACTCACCTGCCCCGCCAGCCTCCGGCGCGCGCCCGCCTGCCGACCTGTCCAGGTCCACGGCAGGGACGCATGCGCGGCGGGGCCCGGCGCGCTCCCGACACCGCCGCGTGCACGGCAAGGCAGCCCCTCCCGCGAAATCCTGGAAGAGACGCCCCTTTGGCGCATCCCATCCCCTTGGGGAACCACCCAGGTGGGACTGGAGCGCCTGCAGGGATGCGCTGCGTGAAGACCGGAGGACATCGGGAGAGCCTGCAGGATCAGGCCGGGCCCGTCAGGTGCAGCGCCGTCAATGGGGAAGCAGCAAGCAGGATCCGAGCGCCAGAGCTCCTCTCCTCTCCCGGGGCTTCCAGAAACGGGTATCCGGAAGCAGCGCCCTGTTTAAGGAAGTTTTTAATGTTTGATGTTTTATTGTATTTTAATATTCTGTTGTGAGCCGTGCAGAGTGGCTGGGGAAATAATAATAATAATAATAATAATAAATTTTTATTTATACCCCGCCCTCCCCAGCCAAGACCAGGCTCAGCGCGGCTAACACTGAATTTAAATACAGTAAAAACATTGAAAACAAAACAAACCAAAAAACCAAAAAACCAGTTGATTAAAATGTAAGTTAGATTACAGTTTAAAATGCAGCTTAAAATGCAACCTTGTTTTAGTGGTAGCCCATAGATCAAAGCCGTAAGGGGAGAAAATGTAAAATATTCACCGGGGCCAACTATCCATGCTGGTCCTACATAGGCCAGCAAAAAGAGCCAAGGGAAAAATTATATACAAATCCCATATAAAGGGTTCCATAAAAAAAACGTGAGGGGTTTAGACTGAGTCCAGCCGATAGGCCAGGCGGAACAGCTCTGTCTTGCAGGCCCTGCGAAAAGATGTCACGTCCCGCAGGGCCCTAGTCTCTTGTGACAGAGCGTTCCACCAAGTCGGGGGGCCACAGCCGAAAAATACCTGGCTCCGGTTGAGGCCAGCCTAACCTCCTTGGGGCTCAGGACTTCCAAAGTGTTGTTATTTGTGGACCTTAAGGTCCTCCGTGGGGCATACCAGGAGAGGCGGTCCCGTAGGTACGAGGGTCCCAGGCCGTGAAGGGCTTTAAAGGTTAAAACCAGCACCTTCAACCTGACCCTGTACTCCACTGGGAGCCAGTGCAGCTGGAAAAGCACTGGATGAATGTGATCCCGTGGCGAGGACCCTGTGAGGAGCCTTGCTGCAGCATTCTGCACCCGCTGGAGTTTCTGGGTCAGCTTCAAGGGCAGCCCCGTGTAGAGCGAATTACAGTAATCAAGCCTGGAGGTGACCATTGCATGGATCACTGTGGCCAGATCAGGGCGAGACAGGTAAGGGACCAACTGCTTGATACGGCAGAGATGGAAAAATGCCACCTTTGCTGTGGCTGCAACCTGCGCCTCCATAGAGAGGGAGGCGTCAAAGGTTACACCCAAGCTCTTGACAGAGGGCACTGGTAGCAGTTGTTGTTGTTGTTTAGTCCTTTAGTGCACGCCAGGCCCTCCTGTCCTCCACTGCCTCCCGCAGTTTGGTCAAACTCATGCTGGTAGCTTCGAGAACACTGTCCCACCATCTCGTCCTCTGCCGTCCCCTTCTCCTTGTGCCCTCCATCTTTCCCAACATCAGGGTCTTTTCCAGGGAGTCTTCTCTTCCCATGAGCTGGCCAAAGTACTGGAGCCTCAGCTTCAGGATCTGTCTTTCCAGTGAGCACTCAGGGCTGATTTCCTTCAGAATGGAGAGGTTTGATCTTCTTGCAGTCCATGGGACTCTCAAGAGTCTCCTCCAGCACGAGAATTCAAAAGCATCAATTCTTCCGTGATCAGCCTTCTACTGGTAACAGTAGTAGTAGTAGTAGTAGTAATAATAATAGTTGCAGACCTACAAACTTGCCCCCTCTCTGGCTTTGCAGAGGGGTGGGGCAGGACCCTCTGCTCCCTGACTTAGAGGTGCCCCCCCCCCGCATATTCCGCTATAGTCTTCTCCCCAATGCACCCCATCCAGAAGAGAGCGGAGATTCCCCAGATCCCAGAAGGGGCAGCACTTGCAGAGCAGAGAGACAACAGCCACCCGCCTTCTCCTTGCAGGGAAGACCTTGGGAGGGCGGGGCTTGGGCTCTGGAGGACCTGCCAGCAGATTTCATTTCCTATCCTCTCTAGGACTCCAGCTCAGTTCCTTTTAACCCCTGGCAAGCCGAGCGCACCCAGCTCAGCCCCCCCTCCCTCTCGAAAGCAGGACAGTGGGAGCGATGTGCAGGACACACACCCAGATATGCTTTATTTGGGGGGCGGGTGGGGGAGGAAACTGATGCACGAGCAAGTCCATAAGTGCTGCCTTCCCTTTTGCTCATGCACGCAGTCACTGATGCAGGCCCATAAGTGCTCCCCCCAGCGGCTACTGGATGCAATTAGCAGCGGCTACTGGATGCATTTTTATGAATGGAACCCCCACTGCTTCAATGTAGCAATGCTACGGACACTTCCAATGTGAAGCGGAAACAATTAATTCATTGTACAGTATTTTGCTTAGGCAATCTTGTACATACGAATGAATGTCCTGGACTCGCTGGATGCAGACGGGTGGGTCAGTCTGTATTTCTTAGTACTGAAAGTACTGATCTGATGTGTAGAGATTTTTTTACTATTCTGCTTAATTCAAGAGGGTTCCGGAAAGTTTTCTTTCTCTGTGAAAGAAACGGGCAGAAGGTTCTTGTTTGAGTTATTTCTTGTTTGGGGAGCTGAGAGCAGCAGGTTTAAACTGGTTCTGCTATCTTTCTGTCAAGGTCATGTTGACTAGAACAGGCCAGGAGGAGCCCGGGTCTCACTCACTTTCTCTTTCTGTATCTTTGTTCTGTGCCAATTCTGAATGTACAGTGGACACTTGGGTTGCGAACGTGATCCGTGCAGGATGCACATTCGCAACCCGCAGCACTCGCAACCCGTGTCTGCGCATGTGCGGGTTGTGATTCGGCGCTTCTGAGCATGCGCAAAGTGCGATTTAGCGCTTCTGCACATGCGCGACCACTGAAACCCGGAAGTAACCCATTCCACTACTTCCGCGTTTCAGCTGTCTGCAACCTGAAAAAACGCAACCTGAAGCGTCTGTAACCCGAGGTATGACTGTATTGGATTTGTGACCATTATGCTTATTTGCCTTCAACAAAGCTCTGCTGGATGAAGTACAATTGCCTCTGGTCTATTTTTTGGGAAGTCTGCATAGTTTTTAAGTTTTTTCCTCCTCTGGAGATGGCATATCTTCTCCCAGGGAAAGAAGGCTCAGAGCCCAGAGGAGGAGGGATGAGTGGTCAGAAAGAGAAGAGGGGGCAGACGGGGACGGGGAGGAGAGGAGGGGCAGGAAGCAGAAGAGGGGGAGTCTAGGGCAGAGAGCAGTGCAGAGGCCGGAGGGGGGGGGTAGGCAAGAGGTTGAGTGGAGGCAGGCTGGTGAAGAGCCCAGGGAGTCTCCCCCTCCTGATGGAACCAGCTGCCCACCCCCACCCCCCGTTCTCCCAGAAGATGCAGAGAAATGAAAAGAGTGGAGCAGAGGTTGGTTGTGGGCAGAAACGGTTTTCATCGGCGCAATATTTGCAGAGAAGAGCTACTGCGACCACTAGGCCTGCGCTGCTTTGGTGTCCTTGAGAAAAAGAGTTAACTGTACCGGTGCCGTGTTTCTTTTAATTGATGATTTACACTTGACTCCGGCTCCTGGAGATGAGGTACAGTACTGTGTAAAATGTTTTGTAAATGCTTTATTCTTTGATTTCTGAAATCACTCCTTCACACATGCATTATGGGAAACCTTTGTCTGCCACAAGCCCCTAAGTGCACAGAGCAATGTACGGTATGTCCAGACTGCCAGTTGAATGGAGCCCACCCGCCCTGCTGGTTACCCTTGTGGTCAATTTGAATGCAACTTGTAATAACTGCTTGGAATGTCAGTGTCTCATGTAAACTCTGTCTGGAAAGGTGAAAGTCTTGCAATTCACAAAAGGTTTGATTGACATATTGTACTTTTTACCTGTCTGACCTGATGCAACCCCTCCTAATTTTGTGGTGTTTTTCTAGCATTTGCCTACGTGTCACTGACATTTGTAGGATGGGATTTCTTACAAATGGAAATCTTTAAAAGCCAGAACACCAATTGTCTCGGGGATCTCCTTTCTTTGCTTTCAGATAGGTTGAATCTTTGCCACGACAAATGAAATGATCAGAGGCTTAACAGCCCCCTTTGCTTTTTGCATTTTAATATTTTAATGTTTCAATATTTTAATGTTGTATTTTAATCTTGTTTTTAAGTTGTATTCTTTCAACTTGTTAGCCGCCCTGAGCCTGGCCTTGGCTGGGGAGGGCGGGGTATAAATAAAAATTATTATTATTATTATTTTGCCTTCTCTCTTTTTTCTTCTTCCACTCTGACCGAGGAACCTTGCTCCCTGCAAGGTAACCGCAGGTAAGGGGTCTGGCCCTAAAGCAACCCCTTACTTTCTGGTAACAGGATCCTCTTTTCTGGGCTGGGTTCTGAGCTGTTCCCTCCCTTGGAAACAGAAACAGAAGGAACAGCTTGCAGGGGGAAAGGCCGGAACCAAAGTTCAAGAGCAAGGGACCTCGAACTGGGACTTCCTTGAGGCTCAGAGGGGCTGCCTGTCAGGGAATCTTGATAACAAAACGAGTGGAGTTAATTAAAGGAAGATTTGTTGCTGCAAAAACATCAAAGTTCACCAGAGTGGCGAGTACAGCTGTCCGTCCATTGATCAAGATGTCCGTTCTAAGGTGGGTGTTTCTGGCAAGGCCAGGAACAGCCAAATGCCTTCTTGTGACGTATTCTGTCTTGAAGACCCCCCTCCATACACCTTGACCGAGGGGAGAGGGGGTCAGCTCCCACCTCTTCCTCATTCTCTGATAGTTTACTTCCAGGAAACGGCTATAATCCTCTTGCCTTGTAGTTAACCCTCTCTCCTCCCGGCTCCTCTCTTCACTGGGAGCTAGCTGCAAACTTCTCCTTGGGTCTGGCTCATTCATGACACTGCCTGAGGACTCTCCAACAAGTTTGGTGATGTCATTCCGCAAGAGGCCAATGAGTGGCTCAACAAGGACATCCCATTTTCTTTCCCAAGCTCTCCATGTACCAGCCTGGTTTTCTTTCAGCCCCTCATCCTGAAGAGCCTGAGCAGTGGATCTCACCCCCTACACGTCAAACAATGTGACATATTTCATATATATTTGATACAAATCTATTCAGCTTGCCTGTGTGTGGAAGGGGGACATGTATTGTAGCATGTTGTTGTTGTTGTTTGTAAACAGCTTACTGCATGGCTCCAACAAGCCACTCTTGAGTTCCTATACCAATAATCTAGGAACTTTCACCACTTTGGAACTCAACCAAGTTTTACTGTCTGTACAACCTGTTCTGAATGCTTTATGGAAAAGCACATGAAACTGACCTTTGAAGAGTTTGTAAGTAAACCCTTTTTAACTTACCAAGTGTGTGGTCTTTTCCTGTGTTGGGGAGTTTTGGAACTCACAAGGGCATCTTCTAAAGGTCTAGCAGCCTTCATCTCCTTGCTTTACTTTGCTGTATATTTGGTGATTTAAAATCTCTGCTGGAGTTCTCTTACCAAAGAGTACTTGCCACTAAGTTTGAGCCTGGCATCCCGGGAATGACTAGGTACCGTATATAAGCTGCAACAGCAGCAAAACTGTGCCACCACTAAGAAGACCCCTCTGAGTGCTGCCAAGGCCTCCGTCTCTGCCTTTCTTTCTCAAGCACCGATCGTACACAGATTATTCTGCAGGCTCCATGCTGAACTTTGTGCTCCCATCTTGTACCAGACATTTTTCATCTACGACCCAAAGGTCTTCAGTCACGGGGATCGTTTCAAAGGGAACAAAGAGCTTCTGCACTGAACCAGGGTTTCAAAAGGTCTTGGCCCTACTAGGAACCAGCGGAAGGGTGCAGATGCTTCCAAATGGAACAGGGGACATTGCACAGGTTAGAGCAGATAGAACAGGTGTGTCCCCCCCCCCCGAGTCCTACTTCAGTGCAAGTTGAGTTAGATCAAGGCCACGTTGTCTGCAGCAAAGCGGCTTCCCTTTCTAACTCGGTGTTCTCAGATACACAGAGAAAAGGCAATAAATGGGAATGTAACATGATTATTTAATGTGAACTGAACTTATCAAGGCTGGTCTAAAAGCTCGTGGGGATGCAGGGGCCATTTCACGATGGACTTCCACCAGCAGGCTTCCCCCAGCCAGGCCTCTCTGCTGAAGCAAGCTGGTGGTGGGGGGGAGGAGGCCCTCCTGGCCTCCAGAAAGACTCTTGTCCTAGCAAGAGCCTGTTCTCCCCGGTGAGCTGCAGAGGAGAGGGAAGGATGGTCTGAGGGGAGGTGTGGAGGCAACGCTCCGCTTTGCGAAGGCAAACCTCGCACCAGACGTGCAACAGTATGTCAAGGAGCATTACGCCTGCTTTCCCTGACCTTTTGCCTTCTTTGCTAGAAAACAGGGCTTCCCCCCTGACCTTTTGCCCTTTCACAATTTGTTTTCTAGAGATATCGCTTGGCTGGAGCATGATGGGGGACGCAGACGTAATCAAGTATCGGGGGGAACATCTGAGGGAAACACCTTCTGACACGTGTATTTGCTAACGCTGGAAATGTGCTTAGATGCAAATACGTCATGTTCAGGGTGGTTTCACTACTGTTTCCAATTGCTGACTTCTGCTAATAAAAGGAGCCTCGGCAGAGCTAGCCAGCAGCTTGCTTGGCGCTTGCTTGCCAGCTTGCTCCTGCGCAGCTCACCTGCATCCAACCTCCTGTCATCTCTGTTATTCCTACAGGGAGGGGCAGCCTCAGGTGACCCAGGCAGACAGGAGATGCCACTGGGCAACACAGCTAATGGCTGGTCACCAACACAAAGGGAGCCCTTAGCCTTGAGCTGCGGCCCAGTAAGATCGTAAGAGCCAACGAAGAGCCTACTGGATCTGGCCAAAGGGGCCCCATCCAGTCCAGCGTTCTCACAGGGACCAAGTAGATGTCCTCATGGGAAACCTTCAAGCAGGACCCAGGCACAAGAGCCATTCTCCCCTTCTGTGGTCTCCAGCCACTGGCATTCTGGCTTGCTTGCTTGGGGAAAAGCCTTGCTTAAGCTCGGGGAAGGGATTGCTGCTCTGCTGCTACTTATCAGCAAATAAACATTCCCCAAAGACCGTTCCGCCCCCACCGCCTTCGTTGATGTAGATGGGAGCACGAAGAGGCCCAAGCCCTTGTAAATCACACACTTTATATTTAATATAGTGCAACAAAAATAGTTAAGAATGCAAGAACTTTTACAGATTAAAAAAATAGTTTTTAAACCATCTGATCTTAAAAATAGACAATAGTCGTGACGCTTAAAAGACAACCGTGCCGGGCATTGTTCTGCGCTCGTCGCCAGGGCTTGGCGCGCCTCTCAGGAGAAACCGTCGCTCCTCCGAAGGGCTGCATCTGCGGGGGCCGCTCTCTCGCCCTCCAGGTCAACCACCGTCTTGCCCCTGGCGGGCAGCACCACGCAGTCCTGTGGCAGCCCCTCGGCCGGCTTGGAGCCCGGCTGCCCCGCAGAGCCGCCCTGGCTGCCGTTGGTCTGGGAGCAGACGCTGCTGACCCTGGCGGCCTGGCTCTTGTGGGGGTTGGCGTAGACTTTGTACTTCACCAGGAGGATGAAGATGAAGACGAGGATGGCAGCCACAATGACGCCTCCCAGGATGATGATCATGGTGCCGCCCAGGAACTGGGCATGGAGGGAGTGGCACTGCCGGTACTCCTCCTCCGTGGAGAACTGCACGCAGCCCACCACGGCTGTCGCCGTCAGGAGCGTCACGCCATCGTCGTAGACGGCCAGGACGCACAGGTCGTAGTCCCGCCCCGCAACCAGGTCGCTCAGGAAGAAGGACTTGCTGGCGGCAGGGATCATCCTGCAAGGGAAAGGGACACAGAGGGGGCTCAGTCCACAGCGCAAGCATCATGAACAGTGCGCAAGCATCATGAACAGTGCGCCTTTGCCCCCGGGAGCGTGCAGAGGGCCGAAGGCACAAACTCAGGCAATTGGCAGAACTGGCCCTGTGGCAGGGGCCACGTTATGCCTGTTTTCTGCATTTATCAGAACTCAAACCCTCAGTGTGGAGATACCTTTGGAACTCCCGGCCTGTTGACCTCAAGCAAGTGCCTTCACTGTAGGTGCCTTTTGGCGCCTGGTTTGGACAGATGCTGAGAAAGTGGAGGTGATTTTAATCTTTTTTTAGGATTTTAACTTTTGTATGCTTTAAAGCAGGCTTGAAGGTTTTTCTGGGTTTGGCTGTTTTACCTTCTTGTAGCTCACTTTCAGTTTTGTTAAACTATCAAGTGGTGCGTAAGTTTTATTACCTCCAGGACCGCCTCTTTCCGTATGAACCTACCCAGACCCTGAGATCATCTTCTGAGGCCCTTCTTCATGTGCCTCCTCCTTGAGAGGTTCAGGGGTGGCAACACAAGAACAGGGCCTTCTCTGAAGTGGCTCCCCGTCTGTGGAATGCTCTCCCCAGGGAAGTTCGCCTGGTGCCTTCACTATACACCTTTAGGTGCCAGGCAAAAACGTTCCTTTTTAACCAGGCCTTTGGCTGACCTGATCAACATCCCATACCCTTTTAAAATGTGGTTCTTTGGGGGGGCTATTATTGGGTTATTGCTTTTATTTTTATTTTATAAATTGTGATCTTTTGTGTGAACCGCTCTGAGACCTCTGGGTACAGGGCGGTATATAAATTCAATAAATGAAATGAAATGATGAAAATAATTAATACTGACAACAAAGAGATGGGCTGACTGGCTGCTCTGGCAGCAGAAGGAGCAACTCCTGGTCCTTTTTCAGGCTGAGATGGGGGGGCCTTCAGAGCTCTGCCCTGGGACAAAGAGCAGGAAGGGAAAGCCCAATGGGGCGGTGAGTTTTCTGCTCCCCCTGTGACCAAACACAAGAGAGCCACCTCCCTGATCTTTCCCCTTGGGGAGACTCTTGTGGCTGCCCTTGCTGGCTGCTAATTCCCAATACATACTTATTATCTGTAGGTGATCTACCAATCTACCTTCCCACCTACCTAGCAATGTTTAATTGTTTTTTAAGGATTGCTTTCCTCCATGGTTTGAGCTCTCCCTATTTTTTCCCTGTAAGTCACCTGGTGAGGTATAAATAAACATATGATAATATTAACCTGCTGGTCACAGCAAGCTTTATCCTGCTGCACTTTGCTTGCATTTTGTAAACTGCTCAGGTGCGTCACATTTCTGACACACCCTCCACCTCGAGCCCTGAAGGGCAGGTTGCCACGGAGTCCCCATCTGACTGAAAAGAAGCAAAGCAGCTCAATTCAAGCCAAGCCAAGATGGTGTCCCCACAAAGTCTCTTCATGGTTGGAGGATGGATGGCAGCCAATGGATTGAGGTTGAATCCTGACAAGACAGAAGTACTGTTCTTGGGGGACAGAGAGTGGGCAGGCGTGGAGGACTCCCTGGTCCTGAATGGGGCAACTGTGTCCCTGAAGGACCAGGTGTGCAGCCTGGGAGTCATTTTGGACTCACAGGTGTCCATGGAGGTGCAGGTTAATTCTGTATCCAGGGCAGCTGTCCACCAGCTCCATCTGGTACACAGGAGGAGACCCTCCCTGCCTGCAGTCTGTCTCGCCAGAGTGATGCATGCTCTAATTATCTCCCACTTGGACTACTGCAATGCGCTCTACGTGGGGCCATCTTTGAAGGTGACCTGGAAACTGCAATTAATCCAAATGCGGCAGCTAGACTGGTGACTGGGAGCAGCCACCGAGACCACATAACACGAGTCTTGAAAAACCTACATTGGCTCCCAGTACATTTCTGAGCACAATTCAAAGTGTTGATGTTGACCTTTAAAGCCCTAAATGGCCTCGGTCCAGTAGACCTGAAGGAGCGTCCCCACCCCCATTGTTCTGCCCGGACGCTGAGGAAATGTACTGGGAGCCAATGTAGGTCTTTCAAGAAGGTAAGTGGGTTACCCCTAAAGGGAGCCCCACAGAGAGCGCATTGCAGTAGTCCCAGCAGGAGATAACTAGAGCTTGCACCACTCTGGCAAGACAGTCCGCAGGCAGGGAGGGTCTCAGCCTGCGTGAGGAAAAGGAGCCTGCTCACCTGTAGACCAGGATGTCGTCAGCCGAGCTGTTATACTGGATCTGGAACATCCGGATCCCTGGGATGTGGTGCTGCGAAGGCCACTGGATGAGGGCAGAGGAGGAGGTCAGCTCAGCAACCACCACTTTCCTCTCTGGCTGGGATTTGGTTTCGTTGGGGAAGCTGGACTTGGCGGAGATGAGGATGTCTGAGGGGCCTGGCTCTGCTTCCTTATCACAGTTGGTGCTGTTTGCAAGGTGAGGGTAGGGGTTGACCACCAGCTCCACGGGGGCCGTGGACTCCCCCGCAGCGTTGGAGGCGATGCAAGTGAAGGTCCCTTTCTCCTCCACAGAAGCCACCAAGATGTCCAGGGTGCCGTTCTCAAAAGAGACGGTCCGGGAAGTGTTGGAGACCAGCTTCCCGCCTGGCGAAATCCAGCGCACATACGGCTCGGGGTCGCCCACCGCTTTGCACTTCAGGGAAGCCCCCTGGCCTTCCATGACCACCTGCTTGGGGGTCCGGTGCGTGATCATGGGCGGCTCGCAGACAAACTCCTCTTCCCGGATGGACCAGAAGTACTTGCCCATCAGCTCCGGCGGGGAGGCGCACGTCTCCAGGTCGTCCTCCCGCGTCAGGCGCCGCAGCCAGACGAGCTCGCAGTTGCAGTGCAAGGGGTTCCCCCCGAAGCTCATCACCAGGGAGGACAAGGGGAGCCCCTTTGGCTTGGCGTAGACAGGGATGCGAGAGAAGAGGGGGTCCGGGGGAATCTTCTTCAGCTTATTGGAGGTCATGTCCAGCCGAGCCAACTTGTGGAGGTTGGAGAAGACTCCCTCGGGGATGAAGTCTATGAGGTTGTGGTCTAGGCTGATGGTGTTGGCGTTGGACAGCCTCCCTATGGTTTCCCAAGGGACGTTCACCAAGTTATTGTAGGAAAGGTCTAGGTCCTCAATCATGTCAATGAAATCATCCAAAGACCCGGGAGAGATATAGTTCAGTTGGTTGTTGCTGAGGATCAAGTGGCGGAGGTTGACCAACCCTTTGAAGTGATCCTCGTGGATGTGGGTGAGTCGGTTGCTGTCCAAGTGCAACGCGTGAAGGCCCTTGAGGTCAAAGAACGCATAAGGCATGATCTGACTGATGGTGTTCCGCGACAGCGTCAGGTGGATCAGGCTGGTCATGTTGGCAAAGTCCCTCCTCCGCAGGGCGGTGATGAAGTTGTCCATCAGCCGCAGCTCCGCCGTCCGCCGGTCAATGCTCGGAGGCACAAAGAGCAGCCCAGTCTTGGTGCAGAGGATGGTGAAGGAGGGAGAGAGGCTCTGGCACATGCAGCGCGTGGGACACATGGTGGCCTTCGCCACGGAGCTCATAACCAGGAGGGACAGGACCAGCCTTTCCATGGTAAGGTAAGCAGCACACCTGGGAGAAGAGGAGAGGGCCAAGGGGATGGAGGGAGGGAGGGAGGGAGGAGAGAAGGGAGGAAGGAAGGAAGGAAGGAAGGAAGGAAGGAAGGAAGGAAGGAAGGAAGGAAGGAAGGAAGGAAGGAAGGAAGGAAGGAAGGAAGGAAGGAAGGGAGAGAGAAGGAAGGAAGGAAGGAAGGAAAGCGAGAGAGAAGGAAGAAAGGAAGGAAGGAAGGAAGGAAGGAAGGAAGGAAGGAAGGAAGGAAGGAAGGAAGGAGAAGGAAAGGGAGAGAGAAAAAGGAAGGAAGGAGGAAATTCGTATCAAGGCTATTAGTATATTAAAGCAAAAGTTGACATCCAACAAAGTGTCGAAAACATTTGCCTCAGCATCTGCCCAGAGACTCCTTCTGCAAAAGCAGACTTCAGCTGGCCCTGTGGCATTCTTTTTGCAGATTCACCAATTAAATGATGTTTTTTAAGGTTGATTTTAAAAAAAGGTTTTGATACAGTGAGATAGAGGTTCGAAATAAATCTGCTGGAAAATGTTATCTAAAATGTACAAGTTACTTTTAGAATGGTATACAAAAGATGGAGAAGTCAAGGCAGTGGTGATACACTGGGCTAGAGATTTTGGGTATAATATTCAACTCTCATCTTGGGGAAAGTTATGGAAAGAGGAAATAAAGTTTACCGCATGCTGTTTGTTGAAAGATAATTATATGAAAATGATGTATTGTTGGTATTTAACACTGAGTGAAATTGCTAAAATGTACAAAACAAGTTCAAATCTGTGCTGGAAATGCAAAGGGGAGGAAGGTACTTTTTACCATATATGTACATTGTGTACATTGGTAAAGGCTTTCTGGGAGATGATATACAATGAATTAAAGAAAATGTTTAACAACACATTAGTTAAAAAACCAGCAGCCTTTTTGTTAGGTATAACAGGTGAAGAGATATCAATAGAAGACAAAAGACCTTTAATGTATGCAACAACGGCAGCAAGAATGCTTCTAGCCCAGAAATGGAAGGAAGGAGAAGTACCAATGAAAAAAGAATGGCAGACAAAACTGATGGAGTATGTGGAGATGGCGAGACTGATGGGGAAGATCCGAAACCAGGAAGATCAAGTATTTTCAAAAGACTGAAGTAAATTCTTAGTTTATTTAAAACCACTGTAAACAGTTAAAATCATTGGCAGGGATGTAATGACACGTGTAATGTGGAATTATTTATGGTAATTATGGATATTTAACAGATGGACAAGGGTAAAAGATGCAGCAAACTTAATCTTAAACATGGAACCCATGAGGGGAGGGAAAGAGGTTTGAAGGTTCAAAAGAACCTTGTATTTTAATGTTTGAAATGGTTAAGTTAAAATGTATAAAACTGTGAGAGAGAAAAACAATTATTATTATTTTTTAAAGGAAATGTGGCCTGGTCAGAACAGTGCCTGAAGAAGAGGGGGTCCTACCCAGGTCAAGTGAATATATTTGTGTACCCCGCCCCCCCCCCACCCCGAGGAGAGGCAGCAGGAGCAGGCGGTGACTGGGGGTGGGGTAGGCAAAGGACTGGGCAAGAGTCTCTGCACAGCTCTCCTTTGCTGCTCTGTCAATGCTGGCTTTTGTGGTTTGTCTTCAGCATCAGCACCCCACCCCCCCGATATGGTTCAAGCCCCAGCCTGCACTGGTGCCCCTCTTCCAACAGCCCTCCCCCCACCATGCATGTTCTCTCCTCCCCCAAGTCCTCCAGGCAGCGCCCGGGTGACGCACTTCTGCAGTGGCCCCAGTGTGGTGTAGTGGTTAAGAGTGGCAGACTTGTAATCTGGTGAACCGGGTTCGTGTCTCTGCTCCTCCACCTGCAGCTGCTGGGTGACCTTGGGCCAGTCACGCTTCTCTGAAGTCTCTCAGCCCCACTCACCTCACAAAGTGTTTGTTGTGGGGGAGGAAGGGAAAGGAGAATGTTAGCTGCTTTGAGACTCCTTTGGGTAGTGATAAAGCGGGATATCAAATCCAAACTCTTCTTCTTCACCTGCCTGGTCAGGTCCCAGAGCCCTTGGACTCCCATTCTGATGGAGGCGCAATGGGTGGGAGCCTGCTGGCGGGGGGCTCAGGGGCTGGATTGTACCCACCTCCCAGGTGGCACCCCATTCCCTCCACCCCATTATGGGGTGGCAATAGATCACCTGGCAATAGATGGGTGGGAAGGTAGGGAAGAAGCTGGCCTGGAGGAGCTGGGGCAGAAATGGTCACAGCCCCCCCAAAACAGAGGACATAAAGTGCTTTCTTTATGTGAAAATAAATGGGCTGACACTGTCAGGGCCGTCTCTAGCATTTGTGGCACTGGGGTGCAAAAAACTGCCCAGCGCCCTCTCAACGGCCCGTCAGTCCCAGGTGCGCAGGAGGGGGGAGCCGGCCGGCTGCCTCGGCGCCTGCAGCAGCGAAGCCTGTGGGGCTCTGAGGGGCTCTGCTCCGCTCGGCAGCGGCTGGCCTGGCTCTTCAGTCCCCGGACTCCAAATCTTGGCCCCAGACTCTCAGCCTGGCGCCCCTGAGAGCCTGGCACCCGGGTGCCCCGCACCCCTAGCGCCTATGGGTAAGCCGGCCCTGGACACTGTATTAGGTAAAGTTCAGGATAAGTTTAATAATAAGTTTATAGGTTTTTTCTTTCGTTCTCCTCTTCTTTCTTCTTCTTTTACCTTATAATTCTTTTTGTATTTTTAATCAATAATCTATATTTAATTTTTAATCAAGAATCTGTACAGTAGTACCTCAGGTTAAGAACTTAATTCGTTCCGGAGGTCCGTTCTTAACCTGAAACTGTTCTTAACCTGAAGCACCACTTTAGCCAATGGGGCCTCCTGCTGCCGCTGCGCTGCCAGAGCACGATTTCTGTTCTCTTCCTGAAGCAAAGTTCTTAACCTGAGGTACTATTTCTGGGTTAGCAGAGTCTGTAACCTGAAGCGTATGTAACCTGAGGTACCACTGTATTTAAGAATCTATATTTTAAAAGTAAATGGGCTGATAATTGAAATATGAATGAGCAGGTTAGCCCAGCTGCGCTCTCTCTCTCTCTCTCTCTCTCTCTCTCTCTCTCTCTCTCTGTTGACACACACACACACACACACACACACACACACCCCTTCTCAGACAGCTCCTAAATGCAGCTCTTTCAGCTGAAGCAGGTTCCATCATCTTCTCCCAGAAGGAAGCTGCTTCTGACTCGACCAACCCTGTGCAACCACAGAGGGTTGTAATCTAATTATATAAATTATGCTCCCTTATTATTAACCTTGTCATAATCAGAAACAAATGGTACCTAATTATAATCACTCCTCTAGCCTTCTTGATTCCCCCCCCCCCCCGCCCACCGAACAAGCTCTGAAAAATTTCAGTGCAGTAGATTCACAGCCTATATTGTAGCATTTATCTGCAGGTGGCCATGTCTCTCTACCTGCATCGCCACTGGAAATTCAAAAAAGCTCAGATCCTAGGGAGAGCCTGGCTGCCATTGGCCCTTCCAGCCCATCCTCCTCCCCTCACAGCAGCCAACCAGGTGCCTCTTGCGGGAAACTCGCAAGCAGGATCCGAGCACAGGAGACCTTCCCCTCCTCTGGTTTCCAGCAACTGGGATTCAGGAGCTGTGCTGGAATTACGTATCAGCTCAACAAGCTCTAGCTTAGGGCCCCACTCTCTTGGGGGCCTCCAAAAAATTTAAAGGGAAAAAACCCCCTGGATGTACATTTCCAAAATATAAGATGAAAAGCAAATCAAATAAAACCTACATACAGCAACAGAGTTTAGTGTTGTGTTGGCTCCTAGGATGCCAGTCATGGGCCTCGCCTGCTCCCTAAAATATCACCGGTTTGCTCCTTTCTATATATAGGGTGCCCACATTCTGCATGGACTGGTTGCAGGGCAACATGGGCAAATGGCTTGAGATACCTATGAGGTCCATCAATTACCATATAGCATATAGTTACAGGTAGGTAGCCGTGTTGGTCTGCTGTAGTCGAAACAAAATTTAAAAAATCCTTCCAGTAGCACCTTAGAGACCAACTAAGTTAGTTATTGGTATGAGTTTTCGTGTGCATGCCCAGTTCTTCAGATACACTGAAACAGAAGTCACCAGACCCTTATATATAGTGGGAGGGTTGGGTGGGGTTTTTCTCAGAAGGGTGGTGGGAATGGATGATTGACTCAATGGGTATGGTGAACCTGTGGACTGTTAATGACTGCAATTAGTCCTACAGGAAAAAGCAAGGGATGGTATGCAGATGATTAGCAAAATTCTTTTGCAATAATACAGCTGCTTTGAGAACTTGTATAGAATGTCCTGGGAGATTGAAGTGTTCTCCTACCGGTTTCTCTATCTTGTGATTCCTGATGTCAGATTTATGTCCATTTATCCTTTGGCGTAGGGTTTGGCCTGTTTGCCCAATATAGAGAGCTGAAGGGCACTGCTGGCATTTGATGGCATAAAACCCCATAAAAACCCCACCCCACCCTCCCACTATATATAAAGGTCTGGTAACTTCTGTTTCAGTGTATCTGGAGAAGTGTGCATGCACACGAAAGCTTATACCCAGAACAAACTTAGTTGGTCTCTAAGGTGCTACTGGACATTTTTTTAAAAAAATTAATTTATAAAGGGGGTGCAGGTGTGGACAAAATATCCCAATTTCACATATTCTACTGCAGGTTTCTTCGGCTATGTCCAAAGCAAGAGGAAGAACAGGCAAGTGGTTGGTGTTCAGCGTGGAGAGGATGGAGAAAGGCTCTTGGGTGACAGAGAGAAGGCGGAATTCTCAACACCTACTTTGCCTCTGTCTTCACCCAAAAGGAAAGCGACGCCCAACCTGGTGATGTCGGAATAAATGATGTAAGGAGGGAGCTGCAGCCCAAGATAGGAAAAGAGGTGGTCAGGGAACACGCACCCACTGTGACGATGAAAAACCCCTAATGCTTAGAAAA